AATGATCTGGAATAACTGAGACCAATCGATTTGATAGTTATTGTCATTTGTTCTATATATTATTATGTTTACCTTTCGATTTTCCATGTTTAATTATCTCTATAGATTTGAATATTATGCTATTTTCCATTGAATATCTTAATTTGATTTGCATTGGACATCAATAGGTTTGTTCTCACAGCCGTAAGAAACATAAGCTTTGTTCGGATTCTTGTTATTACCGATTCTGAACGGTCCTAGAACTCTGCAGCGCATGCGCAAATGAAATGTCTTTATATTTCCCTCTGCGCATACGCATCACAGTTCTAGGACGGTTCAGAATCGGTAATAAGAGAAACCCGAAGTAAGCTATATTTCCAACAGATAATCATGCGCAATAGGGTAAAACGCGTTCGCACAGAAATTTTTGATTGGTTTCCAACCAACAGTACGCTGTTCACACAGAAAATTCTGATTGTTAGCTGACAGTCACACCTGTTTGCGGATCTTTTGCAAGTAAAGTGTCCGGCGCATGCGTATTGCGACCCAACGTCATTACTTGGTAAACTGAACCTACAAAACGTGTGTTGTTTTTGTTTAGTGTTTTTTTCTTCAAAAAATAAAGAAAAGAAATGAGCGATTTTGAATCTTCCGAAGAATCTGAGGCGTCCGAATTTTTGGATACAGACACAGACCTAGAAGAGCTGATGGAGGAACAGGTCAGGCCCAAGAATCAAAATTACAAAACATTAAAACATTAAAAAGAACAAAACCAAGAACATTAAAAGATGTCTTTGGTTAATTCCCTGTTTGTTTTCTTCTTTATTCGGTATTACGTATGAGTTAAAATTAATTGTATTATTAGATCAAAAAAGAAGAGTAGGGGATTCGCTGTTCTCACAGACAGTTTGAAATCGATCAGAAACACCGGTTTGGAAGAAGTCACAAACATGTTGGGAACACGCTGTGAGAACAAACCTTAACATAATCTGTCGGTGTTCCCAATAATTTATATTAAAATTAAATTAAATAATTTATATTAAAAATAATTTTAAAATAAATGTCTGCATATAAGTTTTTTCCGTGAATTTTTCAGATATTTTAATAGTTGCTTTGCTATTCTAATGGTGCGTTTAGACTTGAGCACGCACGCACTGATCCTCCGCGAATGCTCAAGTGTAAACGGCTGTGCGCGCACGCTCACTCTGAATCTGTCTGTGCGCGAGCAGCCGCGAACGTGAGCCGTCTGGTGTCGGTTTTTGGTCCGTGCTCAAAGGGATTTTATGTGTGCGCGAACGCTCAATTTGGACCGGCAATTTGTTTTGTCTGCGTTCGTGCGTGCGTGTGTGATTTTTTTTCGTTTTCTTTATTAAAATTATGGAGTGGATCTTATCTTCGTTATTATTAATTGAAAAATATGAAAAGTAGCCTATATTATGCGATGTTAAACATTCTTTGTATTATTAAAAAATTAAAAAAAAATATAACACATGGCAAAACCTTGTAAATAAGATTAATATTGAATATGTCGATGTTAATGAAATTGCTATTCTAAAATTTGTATCTTTTGTTCATAATTTTTGGTTTTGGTGTTATTAAATTTTGTAATTTTCAAAGTCGGGCCTGGTCATTCTTGTAAAGTTTTTGAACTGATCATAGCCCTCCTCAGACACTAAGTTGTTGCAGTAAATTATATCGATTTCTAAAAATTTGGGTTTGCCACCAGCGACGATGTTTTCGATTTTTCTTCTTTTTAATAATTAAGCTGTGCATAACAATGACTGCAGCCTCGAATATTTCTTGGTCGTCCATTATTTTCGCCAACACAACTCTGCTGTTCGCGCACAAATGGATCACTTCATTCGTCGAAAAAGAAGTTTTTAATTTGAACGGAGCCGAGAGCGGCCAGCTCGTGCGTGCTCAAGTCTAAACGCACCATAAAGGTGCGTATTCATTATGCGCACGAACGAACGTTCGCTAGTGGTATGGACGGGGACCGCACGATAGAACCGCACGAGAGGACCGGACGCGAACGCCTTTGATGTACCGACTCGAAACGGATAGTCGAGCGAACGAACGGCCGCATGCGTTCGGTCCCGTCTAAATATACCGCACTTTCATTCGTTCGTTCGTTCCGATAATGAATACGCACCTTAAGGCTCCGCGCGCACTGCATCGGATCGGACCGACCAGCAAAAGCGACTGGTGTCCTTAAAGGTGTACGCGCACTGACTCGGTACCAGTCCGGCGAGAAACGGCGAAGGCGGTGACTCGACTATCGTAGATAGGTAGAGGTAGGAATCTGGCCTCTACAGGCCGAAATGTTTTAGTGGACGCCGGCGCCGTCTATATGTACGATGGTCGCAGTCGCTTTTGCTGGTCGGTCCGATCCAAATACGTTTAAAATAAAGTATACGGAGGGTACCGCTTAAATTCCTGTCCCGATATTGAAGGATGGCTATAGAATTTCAATGCATTTCCTACATAAGTCTATCCTTGGTTTGTAGGAGGTTTGACTAAACAAGGATGAACCTATGTCTTGGAACCATTCGACACGATTTTCTGTCCTCCTTAAATACTGGGACGTAAATCCTCTCATTGCTCTTATGGGGAGGCCGTCGTATATTTTATTTAAACGTATTTGGTCCGATCCGATGTAGTGCGCGCCCTCCTTAAGACGAACCCAACAAACCAGAGAATATTAAAATCGCCGTTCTTGACTTTAAGCCGGTCCTACACGATACTTTCAACGTTGAAACCAACGTTGAACGCATCATTTGTCATATGCTTCGACAATATTGCAATTCACAAGTGTGTCTCCTACATGATGTGGCAAATGTTATATTTATATATGATGTGGCATATGTCCAACGTTGGAAGCTGTTTGACACATCGTATGGGACCGTCTTTAATAATGGTGCAAAATCAGACTTTGTTTTATTTAATTTAGATTCAAAATATGGTATTTCAAGTTTTTCGTTCATTCGGTATATAGTTCTGCTATTAAAATTCAATTTGTAACAATTATTTAATTTTGAATGCAATAAAAAAAAGAAAGGATTTGTCTACACTGCATATTACATTACATATCATATTACAGAGTTCAAAATTAATTTAACTTGCATGAAACGATTCTATCATTGAATTGTAACAAAATAATAGATTAAAATCAATTAACGTGCACTAGCCCGATGTTCAAAAAATAAAACAAAGAATGTAACGGGAAAATTAAAATGTATGTCCCATGAAAATATTCTTCAAAAAGACATACCTAGTTCTTTTTTTTAGTTGATTGTAAATATTCCCAAAACAGAGCGCTTGATTTTTTTGCTTTCATTACTTCGTATAGTTAATTAAAAAATCCCAAAAATTGCTGTTCATTTCAATTCGATTTCAGTTCTGATTTAATAAGTTGAAGTGAAATAGAACTACTATCGCTTTGGAAGAAACACCTATTCATTTGTCTTTATCTCTAGTACGTTCGGGTCTCTCGTATTATGCCCGGAATCATCCGAATTGCATTAGAGAGTGCCAAACGGCCAAGCGACCGTATTCTCGATCGCTATTTGGTTTATAGAGTTCCACTACTGTCCGTCTATCTGTCTGTCAAGACTCTTTATCTCGAGAACGCGTGGAGATATCGAGTTGAAATTAAAATCATATACTCAGGTACTCAGGTTTACACTCCCTTGAAGTTGTGAAAAAAATGAAACTTCTAATAAAAAAACTATTTAAAAAATTGGGGTTGATGGTAGAAGAGTGAAAATTTAGGGTTGTATGTATTTTTTAATGCCACGTCATAAAAAAATTGTCCAAAAAGTAAAAAAAATGGGTTGGGCTACCCTTATCAATTAGGGGTAAAAGAATAGATAACACCCTAGTCTCGCGCCTACTGAATATACATATAAAATTTCATCAAAATCGCTCAGGTCGTTTCAGAGGAGTATGGTAACAAAAAAACAACCCCTTATAAAAATAGGGGTTGATGGTAGATGGTTGAAAATTTAGGGTTGTATGTATTTTTTATTCATAAATCATAAAAAAAATAAAAAATGTTGTCCAAAACGGAAAAAGAATTGGGTTGGGCCACCCTTATCGCTAAGGTACATTCAGGCTGAGAGGAGTACGGTAACAAAAATAAAAAAAAATATTAAAAACAGGGGTTGATGATAGAAGGGTGAAAATGGTGAAAATTTAGGGTTGTATGTATTTTTATTGCTAAATCATAAAAGAAAATAAAAAAAAATGTCCTAAAAAATAAAAAAATGGGGTGGACCACTTTTATCACTTAGGGGTACAAAAATCGATAACAACCTATTCTCATACCTACGGAATATACAAGCCGTTTCGGAGGAGTAAACAAAAACTGTGACACGAGCATTCTATATACTAGATTTTCCGTTATCCTAGAGCTATTAAATTTAGAAAGTATAAGAAAGAATCTGGAAACTATAAAAATGTAATTAAATCATAAAAAATCTACAGTAGATATGTCCTATAGGTTCCCAGATTGTCTTTACAAGTGAATTTTTTTTATTATTGACATTTTGAAATGAATTCTTCGTAAAAATGTTAGCTTGTATGGTTAAACCAATAATTAGGGAAAATTAAAAAAAAATAATTTTTTAGTAAGTCCTAAAAATCAAAACGCGTTTTTTTTTGGTTGTAATTTCATTCGTTGATGATTGTTATTGATAAAATTTGAATTAACGTCATATTTTTTGTAGTTTTAAAATTATTAAATTATAAAAAAAGTTTTCCTCTTCGATAGACAATGTTTAAAGTCTATTTACAATATAATACCTATACAAAATTATTTTTTTAATATTAAAAATATTACTTCGACCTACACACAACTTAGTTGGCTTAACAGTTGCGCCAACAAAATTAGATATTGCCTCCACACCACCCTATTTTACAAAAAATATATCATCAGTTGAATTTTTTAATCCATCATACTAAAATTAAAAAGAAAACAAAGCGTGTTGAAGTATATAAAGTTCGTTTTTCTTAATTTTTAGACTGAAAACCGAGCTTTGAGACTGAAAGAGGAATACCTGCCTTTAGAAAGTATAAGCCCTTCCGTTCCTTCCTACAATATCAACAGCAACAACGAGGTTTCAGCAGATTCAGGCTATCCCATTGCATTACCGTACTCAGAAACAACAGACGGAAGGTACGTAAATTACTGATATGTGTATACAGGGTGTTGCAAACTGAGCGTGCATTAGAAGTTTCTAGAGAACTAAAATATCTAGATCGGATTTTTTTTGCACATCGTTTGCACACGTTTTACAGTGAGATCTATCAATTAAAAATATTTTCAATATGGAGGCACTTCTGGAAATACCGGAAGTTGACAACTTTCTTATTTTAAACGGGTACTCGCATTTTTTATTATATGCTTAAATTCTCTTGAAAATTTCATGAATTTTGATCTCAAACATATTTACCTAACGTTAATCGTTTTTGAGAAAAAAATATTTAAAATTTTTGGAGGAAAAAAACTGCCTGCCAAAAAAAATTGTATTTTAGGACATACAAATTTTTTTGACAGGCAGTTTTTCGTCAAATTAGTGATTACGTCAAATTTAGTGATTACCACAACTACTGTAGCATAAAGAGAAGACATTTGGTTATCTATTTCAAAAACTAAATAATTGTTAAATGTCATATTATAATATTGGTCGTAGCTGTCATGGAATTGAGAGATAAAAAATTATCATAAATAATTTTTTTCAAGTGGAAACCTGCGGTCAGTGGGATTAAGGTCAATGCGAAAATTAGAAATAGAATTTTTATAGAACATTTACATTTCGTCATTAAAATATCCGTTTAAAAATGCTACTTTACCATACCATTATGTCAATCCAAACGTTAATTTACTAAGGGAGCTGGTTTTGACAGATTCAGTCGGCTGTGCTAGCCAATTAATTGCGAATGAACTGTTCCATAAGCGCAGTTCTTGCTAAAAAATGTATTTTGAAAACTGTCTACTTAAGTTAAAACATTCGATAGATTTTTAAAACGTAATTCTATTTTTAAGACAGTCTGTTTTTTTTTCCGCTACTGGAATAAAACCCGTTTGTCAGTGGATTTTTTTGTAGTAAAACTAATTTGCCCAACCGACAAAAAATGTCTAACGTTTAAAGCCTCATACCGTTGATTGAAAGAATTGGGAAGATACGCAACCTAATGGGGGAATTCGTGATAAGGCTGATTTGATTTCCCCTTACGGCTCAAGTGCTGTACGGTGGGCATATATACATTCCGTACAGGTATACGGCACCAGCACAACCCCATTGTGCTAGATTTGAATTTTAAACCAATTAAACTCCGAGTGCCATACGCGAGTATGGAATGTAAGACAGTGCCATATGAACTTACGGAATGTACCTTAGACATTACTATTAACGCTTTGTTATAGAGCATTCCAACCAAAACCAAACCAACCCCACCAAATAGCTAACCTAACCAACGCAATCAACCCCACCAAATAACAATCTTAACCAACGCAACTAACCATCAAATAATCAATCTAACCCTACCAAAAAGAGTGAAACCAACGCAATCCGTATTTTGATTGCTTTAAATATTTACAGCTTTTTTTAAAAAATAAAAACAATTGTAAAAAATAATAAAGTTATGGTCCGGCGTGAGATTTGAACCACGGACCTCTCGTTCACGAAGCGATGACCTCACTCACTGAGCCACAGCTACTCTTGCAAGATTAGCTATAGCCAGACGTTACTGCTGCAAGTATAATTACCAGGTACATTCCGTAAGTGCGCATGGCACTGTCTTACATTCCATACTCGCTTATGGCACTCGGAGTTTAATTGGTTTAAAATTAAAATCTGACCAATGGGATTGTGCTAGGTGCCGTACATGTACGGAATGTATAAATGTATTCCGGATGCTCATCTCTTCATGAACGAGAGGTCCTTGGTTCAAATCTTACGCCGGACCATAACTTTTTTATTTATTTTTTTTTTTTAAAGCTGTAAATATTTAATAACAATGAAAATACGGATTGCGTTGGTTTCACTCTTTTTGGTGGGGTTAGATTGATTATTTGGTGGAATTAGTTGCGATGGTTAAGATGGTTATTTGTTATTTGGTGGGGTTGATTGCGTTGGTTAGGTTAGCTATTTGGTGAGGTTGGTTTGGTTGAAATGCTCTATAACAAAGCGTTAATAGCAATGTCTAAGGTACATTCTGCATATGGCACTGTCTTACATTCAGTAAGTGCATATGGCACTCGGAGTTTAATTGGTTTAAAATTAAAACCTGACCAATGGGATGCTAGGTGCCATATACATATACTGAATATATAAATGCGTACGGTGGTGACACCACTGGTTCTGTGGTCAACGGATAAAACAATTATTTCCTCTAATTCGACCAGCAAAGGCAAATACGAAGACGGTGGTGTGGATCTGAAAGCGAGAATGTTGTCATATGTGTAATATCTGTACTTATTGACGAAAATATGCGCGTTTATGTATTGAAAATGTATTCGTGATAAACATAGAATAAACAACAAAGATAAAAATTCTTTCTTTAATCATATAATATTATATCAAAGTGTTTGATCCATCTGTACTGTACCCAAAATCCATATATCTACGAATTACGGATTAACCATTAGTTCCGGCAACCCTGTCTACGGCAACCGCTCACTCTGTCGACTGAAAGCAGAACTACGGTACAGTATTCTTATCCGCTGCGTTGTAAAATCAGCGCGCAGCGGCGCAGAGCTAAACTAAATCTCGGAATTCGCGGACAGGTTTTGTGGCACGAAATCGCCCATAGAGTTGTGCATCTTCTTATTTCTGCAATCAACGCTCATATTCACTATGCACTGATGCGTCGAACAGCCAGTATGATGTGGTTTATCTATGCGATTCGTTAGTTAGTTTAGGAAATTGTACGTGATATTTATTTTAATGTATTGACGACCTCAACAGTGCATAGGTCTTCAGGATCCGATCATCCCAACGGCCGAAGCAAAAAATACAAAGAAATGCTATTTAAATATCTAGATACAACATTTAACAACACCTTAGTGTTTAACAGATGCGTCTATTAAGTATAAACTGTTGACATTCTGTTAAAATGGCATTATATGAAGTTAAACTTCAACGTAATTACTTACTACCGGATTACAATTACCTTAGAGGCAAAACCAAAAAGCTTAAACTTTCTGTAAATATGTAAGTATATGATTTTTTGTTTGCTTTTATTTCTTTACTTATTAAAAGCTAAGCTACCAAATACTAAGCCTCCTTTCAATAAAAAATATAAATAAAATACACAAGAAATCACAAACTATCGATAGACGGAGTTGAACAATTAAAAATTTGTTCTTTTCTGTATATATGTTACGGTTAAGGTCCGATGTCTGGTTAATGTCGATATTACCCGGTTAATCTCGAGAATAACACACAACAAAACAACCAAAAATATAACCTAACCCATTAACATGTTAATGTCGACATTAACCGGACGTCGGACTTTAACCGTAACATATACAGGGTGGTCCGAACTGTATTCCGGAAACTTCGGCAGCATATTTTGCAGATAAAAATAAGTAAAAAAGTTCATATAAATGTGTGCCCTAAAATGCTTAGTTTCGAAGATACAGGGTGTAGAAGTTTCATTTTTATTTCGATTTTTTCCAAATAATTTCTGAAGTAACCTCAACATTTGGATGAAAATTGGTGTCTGGGAGTTTTTTGACATGATAAATTTGATTTTGATGTCAATATGACTCCTATTTGTACAGGGCGCCATCTACATATGTTTTAACTGTTTTGGAGAGTAATAACTTTTCGTCCGTACCTGTATAAAACTACTGAGTGAAAAAATATATATATTTCTGTGAGTTTTTACGTAAAAAATGTCCCTTGGTTTGGTTTGGGTCGTCGGAAGAAGTCGCTACTAACAACCGTTCTCAAGATATTTAGAATGGAAATAGTCAATACATGTCATTATTGACAAAAAATAGGCACGTTGAGTAAACAAAAACATTTAAAATTTATGATTTTAGCCTAATAATTATTTAGTCAACATGCTTAATTTATGACAAAGATGACAGGTTTTGATAATTTCGATTCCAAATATCTCGAGAACCATTACTCGTAGCGATTTTTACTAAGAGACGTTTTTTACGTAAAAATCGTTGTAAATGCATATTTTTTAAAAAAGTTATTACTCTTCAAAACAGTTAAAAATATGTAGGTGGCGCCCTCTACAAGTAGGAGTCATATTGACATGAAAATCAAATTTGTCGTGTCAAAAAAATCCCAGACACCAATTTTCATCCAAATATTTACGTTACTTCAGAAATTATTTGGAAAAAATCGAAATAAAATTGTAACTTCTATACCCTGTATCTTCAAAACTAAGCATTTTAGGACATACATTTATACCAACATTTTTACTTATTTTTATCTGCAAAATATGCTGCCGAAGTTTCCGGAATACAGCTCGGACCACCCTGTAATGTTAAATTGAGTGTAAAACTTTATTTGTTTTTCTCCGAAATATTCGGTCCCAAAATCGCGAATATTCGCAAAAATCCGAATTTTGCAAGAAATTTCTTTTCAAAATTCAAGACATTGACCAAAAATTTAACGAATGTGTATCGCATGCATTTTGCCGCGAATCTCTTGGACCCCTGTTTCCTGGGAGAGCACCTTAACAATGAAGAACACATAGCCACTATGGAATTTATCAACAATATCACCAACAATCATCCTCAGTTTGTCAATAATAAGCCATTTTTACAGATGTAACAAATTATTGCGCCAAATCGGGTTTATGGGCTCTCGACTACGTTTGGATGTCAGTTAAAAATGTAGACTGTCTAAGTTGGTGGCAAGCAATGTGTAAAAATACTCAGTTGAAATATTTAGCTGTTGCTCTGCTGTCTTTACCAGCGTCATCTGCAGCCACAGAGAGAAGTTTCAGTACTTACAGTTTTATCCATACTAAAAAAAGGAATCGCTTAACTGCACAAAGAGCCGGTAAAACAATGTTCGTAGCTCATAACAATAAATTATTACTACGAAAACAAAAAGTGGATATGGAGCATGATATTCAACAACATGAAATTCCTCCAGAACCATTAGAACTCGTGGAGGTAGAGGTCCATCCTTCAGAATCAGAACCAGATGATACATCAAATATATCTGATTTGGAAATAGAAACTGACGAAGACAGTACTACTACTACTATAATACCCTATGAAGATGGGACCAGCTCGGCGCCTGATATTCCGGAATAGAATAATTCAGTTATTTGTGTTTTATGTTTTTTAAATCTATATTTCGTGCTTTTTTGTTTTTTTAAATTCATAGTCATCGTTCGTGGTTTATGCACAAAATACAAATGTTACAAAATGATTTTTGTTATGGGTTATGTTTATGACTTTTATGGGTTATGTATTGTTTATTAAAAATATAAGAACTAATATTATGTTTATTGTTTTTTTTCCACTTACATGTTGATATCAAATATCTATCTAATTTATACCTTTATTGTATCGACAATTGAAAAATTTTCCAATTTCCTTGTAAAATATTTCATAAATTTCCGAAAATTTCCGAAAGTTTCAGAAATTTCCTGCAACAATTTCTGAAATATTAACATCACTAGTAACCGCTACATGACTGCTTCAAGAAAGCTATGAGCTTGCTATATCTACAAAGTTTAGATGTTACTATACTACTACGTAAATTTAAACGGTATAGCTTATCCTTAAACCTTGAAATATCAATGTTTGACCAGTATTGTACTTTTTAGCATAAATAGTACGACCATAAACTGGACGGCTGTATTTTCTTAGATTTTTCAGAAAAATATGCTAAAAGTATGTTTTCACTTGATCTTTCTTCTGGCACGTTTTTTAATAATTGCTTCCATTTTTGAAAATTTTTTTGGTCGACGATTAAATATCATTTTATAGTCTTGTATAAAAAATAATTATAATTTGACATTAAAATCTACAAATAAATGAATTCCATAACAAAAACGTGCTTAACCTACTCAATTTTTTTTTAAATATGATAGCTTCCACATATGATAGAAATCATCTTAAGTTTCAGTTTGTTTAGGCGTTATGCAAATCACTTTCTACAGTTTAAATAATGCATTCTTTGGTTTACGATGTGCTAATATTTTTATTTGTTTTTCTAATTAGCACCGTTAAAAATATGGAAAATCAAATTTGCGCTAATGCCTGTAGTAAAATGTTTAGTAGACTATGTTAAATATTTGTTTTAAACGTATTTTAGAGTGTTTGCTTAAATTGCAGTAGCATATTTTACTTTTCCTTTAGAGTAAACAGCGGTTCCATTTAATATCCAATTTTAAAAATATAAACATTTTAATTGTTTGATTTTAAAATTATATGTGTTATATATAATTTTTTTAAATGCCTGATTAATTAAATATTTATATAAATAAAATGCACGAAAAATGACAAAATTATCGATGGATGAAATTAAAAATTTGTGCTTTTCTGTATATCTATTAAAATTAGTGCCCATATAACACAACACAATCCTATAGATATTTTGAGGATATCCACCAAGGATATAGTAAATATCCTTAGTTTATAGTAAAAACGTTCGCGATTTAGTTTTATTTAGCCACATTTTGACGTTATTCATTGGATATTTTTATTAACAGTTCTAAAATATACCTACAATGATTTTTGCGTCAAAATTTAGAAGTTTATTTGTATGAGATAAGAGCTTTCAATTTATAGTGTACCATCGAAAAAAAAACAGCGTTCAATTGGCTTCAAAATTTCGATCGATGACATTCCCCATATAATTTTACATAGAAAATAACAGCAATCTTCATTTCCAAGCCACCTCTGACGCCGTTTTTTTCGATCGTATGGTATTATACCAGATTATACTACCCTTTTATGGAGTCTAGCAGTTTATGTCTAGCAGCAACAGTTTAAATCAAAGTTAGCTCACAGGATACAGGTATAATTTCTAACACCACACATTCCGGAAACTCACAATTTAAACACAAAAATAGGATTTCTGTTTGAATAGATCAAACACGAAAATGGGTTTAGGGATAAAGAACAAGCGCTTTTCAACAAATTTTCACCTATAATTTTGTCACAAATTTTTCATTGTGAGACCCTGAGTCGTATCGTCGTTTTTCGACATTAGTTGAGGTTAGGATAGAATTTCTGCTAGAACAAGGCTAGAACTATGAGTATAAGAAAAAACTAAGTCAAACTCAACCAGTTTTGTTAGTTTCAGTCGTTTTTAAGCCCATTCAATATCGACAAACGACCGAATTCTACGAAAGCGTAGAGCTGCCATCGCAACATTGAAAAATATTTTTAGCAAAATTTACACTTTTTCTGTAAATTTACAGATTTTCTGTAAATTTACAGATTTTCTGTAAATTTACACTTTTCCTGTAAATTTACAGATTTTCTGTAAATTTACACTTTTTCTGTTAATTTATGCGTTAGTGGCAACTGTGGTGCGTTATTCTACGAGTAGTTCCCATCGAATTCTGTTCTACGCCAGTTTATTCACAAAAGTCTTTACTAGTAAAGACAGAATTAGGGAACCATTGCGGCAATTAATTGAAGGATTGAAGACATGCGGACTATATGAAAAGATTAAGCAATATCCCAGTATATTCAAAGATATATTTTGTTCTGAAACCACACCCTCTTCAAAAATACTTGAAGAATTATTCCTCATCGTCTATACTGAACCTGGGTCTAACATAGCACAGAAAATCGGGTGATCTCTTATTTTAGGGATTATGTATTAAATTTCGAATGTGTGTGATATAATAGTATGGCATTTTTTTGTTTAATATGTTTTCTAATATGCTTTTAATCGACCCGGAAAGTATTTTCACCCTTTCCGATGCATTACTGTTTGCAAGAGGATCTGATGGCCTCCACCTCTGGGATGACGTAAACTGTCGTCTGCAAATGATGTAAACTTAGGGCATAACCATCCTCTAGCAGACATGTCAAAATTTCTTTGGGACTTAATCCGATATGAAAGTAGGTTTTTAATGTATTCGTCCATAATCTCTGATGAATATCTGTACTACTTAGGCACAATAGCAACTTAATCAGCGGAGAACAATGCTCACTTGTAACGTCAGTAACGAGCAGGTCGATGCCGAGACGTCATTCTGCTGGGTAGTAAATTTCGCATGCAATTTACAGAAAAAGTGTAAATTTACAGAAAAAGTGTAAATTTACAGAAAATCTGTAAATTTACAGAAAAAGTGTAAATTTACAGAAAAAGTGTAAATTTACAGAAAATCTGTAAATTTGCAGAAAATGTGTAAATTTACAGAAAAAGTGTAAATTTAACACATACAGAAAAAGTATAAATTTACAGAAAATCTGTAAATTTACAGAAAAAGTGTAAATTTTGCTAAAATTATATTTCATTGTTGCGATGGCAGCTCTACGCTTTCGTAGAATTCACCTCGAATTTCACTAAATCAAAGAACTGAATAATACACCATGCAAAAACAAACAACTGTCGAGATGGATTGTGGGAAATTTTTTGCGCGGGCGTTTTAAATTCTCTGTATTACTGGGAGTGGCCAAGCTCATAAATATCTAGATTATCCAGAAGATACCAACAGGATATTTTGTTGCCTTGACGTAATATATATCTATCTGTATGGTTTATTGCATTTTATGTAATATAAAAAGTAGTACATTATTTATTTTTCCTAAATATCTAGACGATATTGTTAGGATATTTTATTATCATGAGCATGTTTGGATATCTCAGCTGGATGTACATTAGATATACGACAGAGATATCCATAGGATATTCTATTCTGAGACATCTACAGGATTTCAGGATGTCTGGAGGATATTCTATAGATGTCTTTATAAGATGATCTTATAATGGGACATTCCGACATTCTATGAATATCCTGCGGATATTGTGTGTTATATGGGTGTAAACTTTATTTGATTAATTTGACATCAAAATCTATCAATAAATGAATTCCATAACAAAAAAGTGGTTAACCCACTCAAAAATTTTTAAAAATATGATAGATTCACACTAACACTCTGAATAGAATGACATATCATATGTCAACTTTTGACATTTTCGCATATGGTTTATTTAAAATTATAACTTGCGGTTCGTAACGACAATTTGACTCGAAATACCAAAAGTGTGTGGTATCAAATTATTCGTAAAAAATGCTTTTTCCAAATATGCTAATTTGAAAAAATTGGGATATGATTAAAAATACGATTTCAGCATATTCTAACTGGCCAGGACAAGACATTAAAACATTAGACGATCAAATCTATTTTTCCAAGGCTCCTTGATTAAGAATTGATATTTTAAACATAGCCGTGGCACTCTAGATTGCATTTTAAAATACGATTACGATTTTTTATTAAGCGAGAATGTCAAAAGTTGACATGATATGTCATTGTATTCAGAATGTCATTTTCTATCGAATAAAGTAAAAAAATATCGAGGGTACAATTTAAAAATCAAAAGTTGTAGGCATTTCCGGTGAAATAGGAAGTGGCCAAAAACAATTGAATACGTCAATCAATCCTAATTTATGTCATATACGTAACATACCAAATCCCGTTTTTTATTTAAAAAAATAAAAAAGTTATAGGGGTGAGTCACTTTTGAGACGCGCCCGGTATAGTATTATAGCAAAAATATGTCGTAGATGTCACCGAGACCTCTCGTTAGCGATTATGTGCTGAAAGTAATCATATTATTTCCGATGGTTTACTCAAGTTGAACATTACCATAACGGTATGTCAGACCGCACATTAGCGGTTAAAGGGTAATGAATGAAGAAGACCTGTGTTTAAAATTTGTTTTATTTTCAGAGTGGCTTGGAACTATTTCGACGAAAAAAGGTATATATCAAGAGGAGGATTAAGAAAAGGAGAAGATCCTTACATTAGGAATAGATTTAATCAACAGGCTAGTGACAGTTTACCAAGTAACAGAGACATTCCAGATACAAGCGATCCAGCGTAAGTATCATTCTTGTGTAAATATTATTAGTATTATAGACATGGGCCACGTTTATACATATATATATATATATATATATATATATATATATATATATATATATATATATATATATATATATATATATATATATATATATATATATATATATATATATATATATATATATATATATATATATATATATATATATATATATATATATATATATATATATATATATATATATATTCAAATACGCTTGAATAGCTAACTGAAACTTACCGATAGTCCAAAATGCATCTACGGTGACCACGATAACGACACAGCAGAGCACACAATCCTGGAATGCAAAAGGTGGACCTATGAAAGAAATAAATTAATGGAGAGTCTAAATACAGAGAAACTAACTTACACTAACTTGGTTCCAACGATGCTTAAGTCAAATGAGAACTGGAAAGCAGTCCGGGAATATATGGAGGCGCTGATATCTGCAAAGGAAAACGAAGCCAAAAGGTTTGGAAAGTAAAAAAAAGAAGAATAATTTGAGTGTACTTACCATACTGCTCTAGTACTGCTTTGTACTTACCACACTCGCTAGTGTCCAACTTTGACTGAAGTGCTCAATTACCTGTAACATCACAATAAAACTGCCTCCCAGAAGTAATGCCGAAAGGTAGTTCCTTGGGGAGATACTCAAAGCGGTTTGTGGAGGTTTTTAGTCGGTAAGGTACCTCAACCACCCCGACAGTACCACTTACGGTCTCTGGTTTGCAGATTTTCCCCCACAAAAAAAAAAAAAAAAAAAAAAAGCTAAGCTGACTTGGAATACCGTATAAACACATACGATTGACTTTTAAAGCGCGCTTGAACCTTCAAGTCAGTCCCACTATTTTCTGAGATATACTTGGGTGAAGCTGGTTTGGAACCGAATATATTGGAATCGAATATAATATGGATCAAATCTTTCTGCAATTAATGTGAAATAAACGGTTGCGGATTGGAACTTAGTAGACTATGTTAATGGGAACTGAAACTTGCTTGAAACACTCAATATAAACGTGGTCATTGTAGACACGAAAAATTCAAACTTACTTTACTTTACTTTTTCGTATCCGGACCATATAGGTACATAATGTACAATTATAATACGGCAATTATAATAATAATTATATAATAAAAAAATACGGCGAATCTGTCAACGTAGACGTTAGAGGTAAAAGTTCGGGAAGGCCAAAAGTTGTAGCTCAGAGAGATTTACGAAATTTAGTAAAATATTGCAAGTCTGCGATAAGAAGCACTCTTCGCGAAGTAACAATTTAATGGAATATAAGTAAATAATAGTTTAAATATATCAAGAGAATGTTGGCGAAAATAGATCCATAAATGCGGTCTGGGGTTTTACAAGGTAAACTTTATTGTGTGGATAATCATTTACCGATGAAGATTATTGATACAAATTCTTATTTAGGCCAAAGAAAAACCGCTACTGACAGAAATTCAAAAGAAAAATCGCTACAATTGGGCAAAATCTAAATTATCGTGGACACAAAATGATTGAAGTAAGGTCATATTTAGCGATGAGTCTAAATTTGATGTTTGCGTTGGAGATCATCGAAAACGAAATAAAGCAGAAGCCTTTCATAAAGATTGCTTAAAGAGGGTTGTTAAATTTCTTAAAAGAATTATGGTTCGGGGTTGCTTGTCAGCAAGAGGTTTGGGCAAATTAAATTTTATAGATGGCACTGTTTTATAGAACGCCCAAAAATATCAACATATACTTGAGACCTCACTTTTGCCTAGTGCTCAAGAATTGTTTCTAAACGAAGACTATATTTTCCAACAAGATCGAGCATCGTGCCATTCAGCAAAATCAACTAAAAATTGGTTTGGTAATAATAATATAAAAGCCCCCCCTATTCCATCCTGCAAGTAGTCCGGACCTCAATGTTATAGAAACTGTGTGGCATAAAATAAAGCAATATTTAAGAAACCACCCTCAACGAACAATTTTTGATTTGCGGACAAAACTGCAGGAAATTTGGGATAATTTTTCTTCTCAAATGTGCCAATCTTTGGTAAATACAATGCCATTAAGAGTGCAGGCAGTTGTTAAGGCGAAAGGTGATTTAACTCCGTATTAAACAAATTTCTTGTTATGCGGTCCCAATATATAGTTGTCAGCAAATTTGGCTTGATTTTGGCAAAATAAGCTATTATCAAAAGTGATTTGTTTGCAAAGTTATAAAAATATAGTAAAATTGTCTAGATCATATTGTAATGTTTGAATTTAGAATAGTAAACAAATTAAATTGCGTCGTTTTAACAAATTACTATTTTTATTGAAAAAAGACCTTGTCCCAACATATAGTTGTTAGGGCTCGTATTGTAAAAAGCAATTTTTTACGAATAATTTGGTACCACACACTTGGTATTTCGAGTCAAATTGTCGTTATGAACCGCATGTTACAATTTCAAATAAACCATATGCGAAAATGTCAAAAGTTGATATATGATATGTCATTCTATTCAGAGTGTTATTTTCTATCGAATAAAGTAGAAATATACCGAAGGTGCCATTTAAAAACCAAAAGTTGTAGTTATTTCCGGTGAAACAGGAAGTGACCAAAAACAATTAGAGATATGATTAAAAATACGATTTGAGCATTTGCTAACATGGCCACGACAAGCCATTAAAAACATTAGATGATCAAATCTATTTTTCCAAGGCTCCTTGATTAAGAATTGATATTTTAAACATAGCCATGGCACTCTAGATTGCATTTTAAAATACGATTGCCATTTTTTATTAGGAGAGAATGTCAAAAGTTGACACATGATATGTCATTGTATTCAGAATGTCATTTTCTATCGAATAAAGTAAAAAAAATGTAGAGGGTACAATTTAAAAATCAAAAATTGTAGGCATTTCCGGTGAAATAGGAAGTGGCCAAAAACAATTGAATACGTCAATTAATCCTAATTTATGTCATATACTAACGTACCAAATCTCGTTTTTTATCTGAAAAAATAAAAAAGTTATAGGGGTGAGCCACTTTTGAGACGCACCCGGTATAGGAGCTACAGATGCCCGACGCAATATTGCCGGACCATGTATATACGAGTATGTTCATGTTCATAGGATTTTTTTAATATACTGTGTTACCTACTAATGTTTGGTAATCTATTTTTTGGTATTATTTTGCAAACCTAGTAAAACCAGGATATCTTCTGTCTCTAGATGTCTCCAAAGATGTTCTTATTCGTTCAACGAAGAAAAAGTTCGTTTCTGCACTGGATTCCGAGAGAGATGCAAGGTCGTAATTTTACTCTCGTATTGTCGGTAGAATATGGGCTAATACCGTCGTTTCATGTCCTCGTGACTTGTGTCTTCGCGATAGCCAATATATACCGTAATAGGTTTTTGCAGTTGAAAGGAAAATTTATTGATATTTGCATTTATTTTTATCGAAATTTACCGTTCAGGATACGCTGAGCTGCTTGTACTTTCGCCCCAAGAATTCTTTCATTCAATTTCTAAATTAGCAGAATTACTTTTAATATAATGATATTATCAGGTATTACGTTCTTAACAAAATACAGTGGAGACCTCGGTGGAGACTCGATAATCAGAACGTGCCAAAATCCATGCAAATCGGACAAAATGGAATATTGCTCAATCAGAGATGTACAAGATACCTCATAAAAAATATCTGAAATACAACTTACTGTGTTTAGAAAGCAAGCAATGTATTTGAGATATTAGATACAAGATACTTTTGAAAAAGGTATTTGAAGTACTGGATATAAAATACGTATTTTCCTAAATAATTTTATTAAAATAAAATACATACTAAATCTGAGAAAATATACAGGGTCCGGCAATAGTGCGTCGGGCATCTGGAGCTCCTAAAATAAAAACTTAGCAATTTTGTTTAAGTGCAAACCTAAAGTATGTATTAGGATGTATTTCAGGAAAATAATTTAACCTCTACAGGGTGACTCAAAAAAGTGTGAGTGGATCAGGTGGATTTTTTTTAAATAGAACACCCTGTATATTATTACATTTTTGGCTTCCTCTATGATCACAGAAGAACTCTATCATCATTTAAAGAATGTGATACGGAAGCTAATATTGCATCATTAGCTGAGGGCTCTAATTGCAAAAACTTATAATATTATAAAACGTTCGTTTACGTTTTCTTCAATGGCATCTGTCGTGAAGACGCGTCTTCAATGTGTCGCAATATTTTAAGTTTCGCATTTTAAGACTTTTAATGATATATTGGATTCCAATTAGTTTTGTAATAGACATCCGTAATGTGTGTCTTTATCGCCTTCCAGCCTTGCAGACTGAACAGGTATTAAGAAATTACCTAATTTTTTGGGACACCCTGTATCATTTTTTAAAAAATTTCAAAATATGTAAAAAACTAAATAAATTATACTTGTCCAAACGTTTTCCCGAAAGACTAACCGTTTTTTAAATAACAAATGCTCCTTATCGAACCTCTACAGAACACCCCACTGTCAATCCGTTTGCCAAAAATCAGCTTTAAACGTCAAGCAGTTTAAGCAGAATCGTGATTACTCAATGGTCATATTTTATGAAACACCCTGTATATATTTATAAAAAAATCTTAAAATATGTAAAACAACAAAATAAAATATACGTGTTTAAGAGTTTTTCCGAAAAACTCACCGGTTTTTAAATAAAAATATTTTAATATTTGAGGGATAGTTTCACCCCCTTCCAATTCGAGTTTCGAAAAATCCCTTATTATCGAACCTCTACACCCTAAAGTCAATCTGTTTTCCAAAAATCAGCTTTTTACGTCAAGCGCTTTAAGCAGGATCGTGATTAATCAATGACCAGATTTTTCGAAACACCCTGTATACATTTTTAAAAAATCTTAAAATATGTAAAGAAACAAAATAAAATATACGTGTTTAAGCGTTTTTTCGGAAACTTGACCGTTTTTTAAATAAAAAATATTGTAATATTTGAGGGGTGGTTTCACCCTCTTGGAACTGGAATTTCAAAAAATCCCTTCCTATCGAACCTCTACACCCTAGAATCGAGCTTCTTGTTGAGTGGTTTGTGCAGGATCGTGATTAATCAGTATGTCAGTCACTTAAGGATTTTATATATTAGTATAGATATGCTACCTCAGCAAAAAAACGTGATCGCGTTTTTCTTTCTGTATGTTATTAACAATTGTTTTTATTTCAGATGTAAACATAGACAATGGAAAACTGATTTACCACCAACCAGTGTGATAGTAACATTCCACAACGAAGCCAGATCGACATTACTAAGGACGGTAGTCAGGTAATCTTATCTAATACTGCTATGTCACGTTCTTGTTTCGATTATAATCGATTCATGGCTATTTACCTTTTCAATTCCTTTAAGTTTATTTCATGATTAATATATAATGAATATTGTATATAGGTGGTTTATTGTTATTTTTTTTATAAAAGACGATAAAATGGTATTTTATCGTCGGTACGATAATGCAATTTTATCGTCGTGTATAAAACAATATGTTTTTTCCATAGCGAGTTACGTTTTAAAAAATATTCAGAAATTATTATTTCGAGGAATTTATTACGAGTAGAAAAACATATTGTGCTGGGTTGGCGTTGGTTTCTATGTAATTTGACAAATAAATAAAACTGACTCTTTAGTTGTCAGTTTTAAGCATAGGCAAACAAATAAAAAGAGACTGGCAAATTAAATGGCAAAGAGAGGGACAACGTTCCCGTAGCGCAACTCAGAACGCAAAATTTTGTTCTATTTATGTTGATCTGCGCATTGCGTCTATTGGGCCCACTATCTCATTCTAATATAACAAGAGAGAAAGAAGTAACCATATAAAACGTAATTTCTAAATAGAAATCAGAACAATCGCCTTTCGTTTTCGTCATCATGACAACCAAGATGACAACATCATGACAATTCGTAATTTTTCTTTTGGTGATTTACCTTTTTTTTCTAAACTCTCGATTTTATTGACTTATGAATATGGATAGGGAACAAATTCCTTTGTTCCATATAGATAGGTATTTATATTTTGTTACTTATAATTTTCGGTTATACTATTTGTTATTTTATTTGCTGCAGGAGCCAGTATCATCTATTTTTTATATGTATTGGTGCCCCCTTTCTCTGATAGATATGTTAGACACCCGGTAAAATAAAAGTAAGTAGTTATATTTATCATCTTATTAAGAAAAAAGTAGAAGTAGTAGTGTCAAAAATATTTCGAACCTCTCTTAACGTAACAAATTAATACAATTAATTTTTTTCATTTTTTGGGTAGGTTTATAGCTGGTTTATAGTAAAATACCAGATTTATAGTTCAAACCAGAAACTTTATTAATATACCTATTTTACTTTTGTTTTAGGATTAAAACTGTACTTGAAAATGGTTCAGGATCATGATTCTCGTAAAGTCTTCTTTGCTTGGATATTCACTTTGTTATTGCAATTAAACAGTTTTTTCGAAAATTAGATTTTTAATGCCCTTTAAAAAAATTGGCCGACCGTTTCCTGCAACAGTCAGTTCTTCTGCATTTAAAATTGGTAGGTGGGTGGAATAAACACTGTTATTTTTTGTTATTATATTATAAAAAGTTTATTTATTTTTATGTATAAATAAATATGTTTATAAAACAGTACAATTTTTGCTTTTTTTATCATTTCTCTTATAATAGTAGTACTCTTTCGTTCTGAAGGAAACTGCAAATCTTCACTTAAACTGATTTATTCCCTACACCACCAATAAATCAGTTTAAGTGAAAATGTTCAGTTTCAGAATGAAAGAATACTACTAATAAAGGCTAATTTAAATTTTCCGCCAGCCAGAATGTACTATAATGTCTTACGATACGTTTTATACCTATCTCTTTCTTTTTCATATGAAGCACACATAATAAAGAAAGATAGCAATAAAGACGTACGTCCTGCCATGGTCCTGCTAATTGGTTCCAAAATTGTTATTCAGAGTTGCGCTACGGGAACGCGGTCCCACTCTTTACCATGGTATTTGTCAGTCTCTTTTTATTTGTTTGTCTATGGTTTTAAGTCAATAATTTGTTAATTCTCTTTCGTGTCGATTGCTGATTGAATTGGAGCCAGAAATGGCTCAAAACGAAGTAAGTAAATTACCAACAGATATTCAGGCTGAGACGACAAACGCCATATCCAAACTACTTCCATTTAAATCCCGTATAACTTATGAAAAGGAATACAAAAATTTTCAAAAATGGAAGCAATTAAAAAACGTGCGAGAAGAAATGAAGTTTTTAACCTATCCTCGCTGTTAAAGTATCATTTAATCTACCCTTGCGGTTAAAGTACTATTTTTGATAGATATAAAGCAATTTTAACAGTTGCTATGGAAAAAAATATTATTTCTTGAAAGAGTCTGGAGTTTTCGCCACTGTAAAAGAAATTAATAAAATAGAAAAGTATTCTTTTGCCATTGGCAATATTATAGGATGACAATAAGCAATAATAAGACATTGGCAATATTATAGGATGACTTAAGGTACGTTGGCATTTGCCTGGTTTTGCTTTGTTACCTGTTCACTTTTAATTTAGAAATAGATGCGCTTTTTTTTCTTAAATTACTCAAAATCTGCTTGTCCAAAATTGTTCAAATATGGGTTGTAGCCTTGTTGTGGTCAGCATAAGCACTAAGCAGACCTTTAAAATACCTATACCAGGTGCGTCTCAAAAGTGGCCCACCTCTATAACTTTTTTATATTTTAAGATAAAAAACGAGATTTGGTATGTTCATATATGACATAAATTAGAATTCATTGACGAATTCAATTGTTTTTTGGGTCACTTTCTGTTTCACCGGAAATAACTACAACTTTTGATTTTTAAATGACACCCTCGGTATTTTTTTTGGACCTTTATTCGATAGAAGATGACATCTCTATAGACTCTCTGAATAGAATGACATATCATATGTCAACTTTTGACATTTTCACATATGGTTTATTTGAAATTGTAACATGCGGATCATTACAATTTGACTCCAAATACCAAGCGTGTGGTACAAAATTAATCGTAAAAAAATGCTTTTTCCAAATATGCTAATGAGCCATCCTTGTTCCGTTTGAAAAAAATTGAGATATGATAAAAAAACGATTTGGGCATCGTTTAACCGACCAGGACAAGAACGAAAAGCATTAGATGATCAAATCTATTTTTCCAAGACTACTTGATTGAAGAAGATTGAAATTTAGAACACGATTGAAATTTAAAACACGCTTTTTTTGAAGCGAAAATGTCAAAAGGTGACGTATGATATATCATTCTATTCAGAGTGTCATTTTCTATTGAATAAAGCAAAAAAATACCAAGGATCCCATTTGGGATTTAAAAGTTGTAGTCATTTCTGGTGAAACAAGAAGTAACCAAAAACAATTGAATACGTCAATCAATCCTACTTTATGTCATATACTAACATACCAAATCTGGTTTTTTTATCAAAAAAAAATAAAAAAGTCACAGGGGTGAGCCACTTTTGAGACACACCCGGTATACGATTTCGCTGTAAATTAAATAGAGGAACGAATATTTGAATAGTTTAAAATTGGCATGCGATTTCCTGTGTTTTTAACGACGATGCACCACCCAGTACATTAAAATACAGGGTGGTCGAAATTGGTCTGTTTTAACAGAGAAAACCTATTTCCTGACTAGATAGAGCAAAACCGATATAGATGTCATGGGCTCGATTTCTGAGACACGTTTAGTGACGTAAACCGCCTGTTGATATTTTCACTGCCAATTGAGATACGGGGTATTTTTGAATTTATTGCCATTTCGAAAATTGCTCATAACTTTTTTATTTTGCGGAATAATAAAATTCTGTAAAAACGTTCTTAGGGCACATTATTAAGCACAATCCAGTGGCGTAGTCAGTTTTTTTGCTTGCTCTTTTTGTCACAAATAATCAAAAAATATAATTTTTTAAATGAAAATCATAGTTGGCTATAAACTTAAAAAAATGCTGGCGTTTGACCCTTTTCAATGATATAAAGTTAGGGGTATCTATTTCTAAAAATGAGAGAATTATTAGCTTTTTATCTTTATACCGAAGCAATCCTTGATTTTGTGTTAACCTATGTTCCTAATTATTTTTTATCACAATATAATATTCAATATTATTGTTTATCTGCATAATTAAAGACTTTTGGAAATATAAATTAACATTCTATATTAGTATTAGTAATTACAATTGAAAATTGAAATATATACAATAAACAAAGAACAAGACTATAAAAAAACGTATTTTTTGTGTGGCGAATATAGTTTTCTAAAAAAATCAAACTGAGCATCTCCTTGTTGAATACACAATAACATCTTTTGCGCACAGAGTTACAACGATTTATTACGCGAACTAGTGTACAGTACTTCTGTCCGTTCTGCGGCTACGGGGTATCCGTGAGAGGGGAAACAATATTCTCTCGATGTTTTTCGTAAAAAAATAGACGACGCGTCCCATCAATAAGAATTCGACAAATTTGCAAGTAGCCAATAAAATGAGTGGGCGGAGCGATTTGCGGTGAAGATTAAAAACGTAATATTTCTCTCATTTTTAGAAATAAATACACATAACTCTATGTCGTCGGAAAGGGTTAAACGCCAGTATTTTTTTAAGTTCATAGCCAACTATGATTTCCATTTAAAAAATTATATTTTTTATTATTTCTGACAAAAAAAGCAAGTATAGAAAAAACTGACTACGCCACTGGAGTGTGCTTAAAAAAGTGCCTTAAGAACGTTTTTACAGAAGTTTATCATTTCGCGAAATACAAAAGTTATGGGCAATTTTCCAAATGGCAAAAAATTAAAAAAGACCCCATATCTCAGTCAGCAGTGAAAATATCAACAGGCGGTTTACGCCATTAGACGTTTCTCAGAAATCGAGCCCATGACATCTATGTCGGTTTTGCTCTATCTAGTCAGGAAATAGGTTTTCTCTGTTAAAGCAGACCAATTTCGACCACCCTGTACAATTGAAATTAGTAGTAAAAAGTAGGTATTTAGTAGTAAGACATTTAAATTAATAAATTTAAATGTTGAGACTGAAACCTTGCGTCTTTTTTTCTTCTTTTGAATTTATAAACCAGGTCTCTTTGGGAATAATAGACGCCTTTTTTTAAATTTAAATAATTAAATTACCTAGTGATATATTTTTTTTTATTTCTTAACCTCTAAATATTACACTCAATATCATAAAGAATAAGGTAATGAAATCTCAATCAGCAAGCTATTGTAAAAGTCAAGGTCTTGGGTGCAATCGCGATTTGGCATTACGAAATGCCACAGAAGGTCACACTAATAAAAGAATAGGTAGATGTTTCTGACTTAGTCGTCGTCGCCTCAATTACTGAAATATCAAATATATTTGTTTATCTTTCAATCAGTAGTGAGTGGTCTTTGAAAGAGTACAAGGGTATTTGTCAAACTTCACTGCCAAGTCAAAGCATTAATTAGAGTTTGAATAAAATCTATAAAAGATTAAAACAATTTTTAGTAGGTTAAATATCTGAATAAGACAGTTATTGAAAACTCTAATATAGTTTGATGAAAAGCAGATAAATTTGCTTCGACTTATTTTAAAAAATACATACATGAGTGTTTTTATGTAAAATAAATATTTAAAATAGACCAACAATTTTTGATACCCCTGTATACATTTAAGGAAGCAATAAAATTTTTAATAAAGTTTATTTCTCAGGCTTAAAAGTCAGCACAAGAATTAATTCTGAAAAGTAATGTATGTGTAATGATTTTATTGAACAGAAACTTCTTTTACAAAATGTTTCTAAATCATTAACAAACACTTTTTATAATATATAAGTCACTGTCAAGTGCTATATATTTCCGATTAAGTATTAACTATAACTGTAACGATTACTATATATAATTTATTCCAAATTGTCGCATTTTTTTTCTTTTAATTGTCGCTAATGATTAAAGTATGATTTGCCTCATTTCACTGGCTTCAAAATAAACGATTATCATTTCTCAGACAATAATATTAAAGAGAAGTGAAATTATTAGCGACAATTATAATCCGCTCAAGCAAGCATTGTGGGAATCAAAATCAAAGCCATAAAATCATATTTTAATGGACAGAAACTCTTTCAGTTGCCTCTGGTTATAAATTAGTAGGTCTTTTTGTTTTATGAAGAACATTGCTAAAGTTAATAGTTTTATTTTTGATAATATTTTTTTTTGTTTTAATATACCGGGTGAGTCTCGAAAGTGGCTCACCTTTATAACTTTTTTAATTTTTCAGATAAAAAAACGAGATTTGGTATGTTAGTATATGGCATAAATTAGGATTGATTGACGTATTCAATTGTTTTCAGTCACTTCCTGTTTCACCGGAAATTACTACAACTTTTGATTTTAACCGAAAGGGTACCCTCGGTATTTTTTTACTTTATTTGATAGAGAATGACACTCTGAATTGAATGACATATATGCCAATATTTGACATATTCGCTCAAAAACATATTGTATTCTAAATTTCAATCTAGATTGCCATGGATGTGTTAAAAACACTAATTTTTAGTCAAGGAGCCTTGGAAAAATAGATTAGATCGCCTAAAGTTTTTAGTGTCTTGTCCTGACCGGTTAAAAGATGTCCAAATCGTATTTTTTTATCATATTTCAATTTTTTTCAAATGGAACGAGGGGGGTCATTAGCATATTTGGAAAGGAATTATTTTTTTACGAATAATTTGATACCTGGCATATCGAGTCAAATTGTCGTTATGAACCGCATGTTACAATTTCAAATAAACAATATGCGAAAATGTCAAAAGATGACATATCATATGTCATTCTGTTCAGAGTGTCATTTTCTATCGAATAAAATAAAAAAATACCGAAGGTGCCGTTTAAAAATCAAAAGTTGTAGTCATTTCCAGTGAAACCGGAAGTGACCGAAAACAATTGAATACGTCAATCAATCCTAATTTATGTCATATACTAACAAACCAAATCTCGTTTTTTTTATCTGAAAAAATAAAAAAGTTATATGGGTGAGCCACGTTTGAGACGCACCCGGTATATATAGAAATACACTTTGAATAAGAAGACTAAGGAAGGAGCATATCAAAAATCTTAGGTACACCGCGATGGGCCTCAAATATGGCCGACTTAAATTCCGGTTTATCAGTGTCGTTCTAATTTTATTTAAAAAATGTAAAACTATGATGTAGGGTAGACGTGGGGTAGACTCAATAATTTGTTGTTTTATTTTACGTTGTGAATAAATGTTGGTAGTTATTAAAATTGTTATAAAAATATATAATTCTAATAAAAATAGATAAGTTATAATAAGTATTTATTGACACAAACATCCGATACGCTACTGAAGCAGGTAAGTCAAAATAACGTATCTAAATTCTTTGACATCTAATCTTTGACAAGGGGCAACGGCCCAGCTACGTCGAAACACCGGTTCCCATTAGAACACCGAAGTTAAGCGACGTAAGGCGATGCTAGTGGATGGACGGGTGACCGGTTCGAAACTTTGCATCGTGCTGTTGTCCAAAAGGGAAAAGTGTAAAATCTATTGATACACACTGCTCATTCACGCCGGTTCAAGGCCGGATGAGATCGGATATCTCGTGAGTAAGAGTTAATTTAGGCACTTCCTAAGTCGGTAGGCCATTGACCATGATATGGCCGAGGACCGCGGTTCGGATTCCGCGTAAACAAGTAGGTCCCGTCCAGTTTAGCCATTGCAGCAGAAAGGAGACGTTAACTTGAACCTCATCATCTTTGACAAGTAATAAATAAAAGCTAAAATGCAAGAAAAATATATAATTTTGTTAATTTAAGTGAATTTCATAAATGATCGGTTTACTACACGTATGTATATTATATAGTCACTTACTAGCGAAAAGTTGTTCCATTATTTCACTCAATTTTTGCCGAGATCTACCGCACGCTACACAACCAACTATTTTAGAGTCTTTTTCGATAAATCGCGATAGTGTCACTGTTAATTTAAGTTCTGCCACAATTTCCATCTAGATTTACTACCTTTATACAACTAGCATTAGTAGAATAAATAATAAATAACATAAAATAAGCTCCGTAAAGACTGACAAATCCACAAAATTTCAAATCAAATTCAAATGTGTCAAATGAATCGTCAAACAGAACTGTCAAGGATCCCCACCCTAGAGTGCTTTTTCCGCCCACCATACATGAATACGTGGATAGCATTATGCTCCTTCCTTAGTCTTCTTATTCAAAGGAAATACATAATATAGGGATACAATGGGCTTAAAATTAATTTTCAATGTTTATTTTTTTTTTGTTTCAGTGTACTCAATAGAAGTCCAGAGCATCTTATCCATGAAATAATTTTAGTAGACGATTTCAGTGATAATCGTAAGTAGAATATTGTCTTGTATTAAAATAGGAATAGAGAACTTAACTGATTAAGAGATAGATGTTTAGATATACTTACAAATTTAATGGATTTTTTTTATTATATTATCCATCAAATTTTTCAATTATTATTAAAAATGCGATTTTATTTGTAAAATATGACCGAAAAAAACGGCGTCAGCGATGGCTGTAAAATGAAGATCGTTGTCATTTTATATATAAAAATTATATGGTGAATGTCATCGATCTTCATTTCTAAGCCAACTGGACGCTTTTTTTTCGATCATATAGTATAAACCAGATTGGCTATTTTAGGACAAGCAAAAACATTTACGAGAAATGTATTTTACTCCAAATTTTCATAATTTAGTTTTGATCTTGTAAAGACGATCAGGGGAAATACTGTAGAGAATACAGGGTGGCCAAAATAAGTTCGTTGGACACAAGTTACCTCTATACAAAAGTGTTTCGGAGGCATCAAACTTCAAAAAAATAAACACATTTTTTAAGATATTTTAAGAACCGTTATTCCGATTTGAACGAGTTTCTGGGTGGCTATGTTTTGATAAGTGCTTTAACCATAGACTTAAAATAAAATATAGACTACACTATTTACAGTACATCTGCTGGATCTGTGTCTATGAAAGGAATGCGGACAAAAAACATTTAAATAAACAACAATATATTTTATACGTCGATTTGACGAGTGCGTCACCGCAAATCGCTCCGCCCACTCATTTTATTGGCTACTTGCAAATTTGTTGAATTTTTATTGATGGGACGCGTCGCCTATTTTTTTACGAAAAACATCGAGAGAATATCGTTTCCCCTCTCACGTATACCCCGTAGCTACAGAACGGACAGACGTACTGTACGCGGTCAAACAACGCGTATCTCAACGCGGTCAAACAATCTTTTTTGTACACATGTTTACTTCTGGGTACAGTCGACCGAGCCTTCCTCATCCAGCCTATGTTGTCACTTCTTTAATATTATCAATATTTTTTTTCTTGTTATACACATATATTGAGATATTAATACTACAGTTTAATAAAGTAGGTTTTAATATTCCATAGATGTATTAAATAGTCCTTATACTACTAAATTATAAGTCGGATCGTGTCGCACTCGTTATAACCTAAAACAATAACACAACAATCACAAGACATTGCCTGACCGCATGTTCCAGCTATTTATGAATGAGATGCTCAGTCTATATTTTATTTTAAGTCTATGGCTTTAACACTTGACTTTCATAAAAATCAAGAAAAAGTATGGGAAGGGTAAAAACTACCTCCACCCCTACATAAATTTCAGTATAAATATTCCAACTCCACCGACGACATATTTTCTTTTTGTAAAATGGTCCCTCTAGTATTTATTACAATTTTTATCTCTTGTGAAAAACGCCACATCGCATGGCTTTTGAGAAAAAAAATTTGGAGAATTTATTTTTCCACAGCAGATCTATAAAATATACAGGGAATTCCAATATTCCGTGGACATGCTTTACCTTTATACAAAAGTGCTGCGTTTGTCCGTTAGAGGTCACCAATAAAAAATAAATCCGAACGTTAAATTATTTAAAATTTATTCTAAGATCGGCAAAAGAAAAGTTTATTTTTTTAATTTCACTCAAAATGAGTTATTTGGGTCATAAATGACCTAAATACAAAATATTTTCATGGTGTCTGTCTGTCTGTCTGTCTGTCCGTCTGTAACACGATAACTCAAAAACCGCTAAACCGATTTTAACCAAATTTGGCACAAAAATGCTGTGGCACCCGAGAACCTGGCCATTAGTTTTTGGTGGGGGTGAGCGGTTGGTAAGGGGGTATGGGAGGGGGTTAAAAATTTAAAAAATCGTAACTCCAAAATTACACTAGCTAGCGAAACGCGGTTTTCAATTTAAGATTAGGAATAATACCGTACGATCGAATAAAAACGGCGTCAACGATGGCTATGAAATGAAGATCGCTGACATTTTATATGTAAAATTATATGGGAAATGTCATCGATCGTCATTTCCAAGTCAACTGGACGCCGTTTTTTTTCGATCATACGGTATTTGTAATAATATCATAAAAATCAGCCAAAGTCGCAGTTTTTGAGATAAATAAAAAATTGGAAAAATCCTTTACTTTGAAACTAAAAGAACTGCTTACCAACTTTTTATTAACATATTTTAGTATAGGCGGCTACACGTGCCTCCCGGCGCCAATTTTTTTAAAGCTTTTTATGAAGCTTATTGTTAAATATAATTTGTGATACTAACATAAAATTATATATTTTCGCCAACTAAATTATTAGAGCATAATAATAGATTTTATGCGCGTCCAAAGCTTGTGACAAAAAAACATTATCTTAAAGTCAGCTTTGGAAATGTATTTTTTCCTCAAAAAGTATGCGTGGTGGCATTTTTTTACAAGAGAAAAAAAATCTAGTAAACACTAGAAGGGCCATTTTACGAAAAAAAGATCGGTCGTCGGTTGAGTTTTGTATTAGTGTAGAGTGGGGGCAGTGGCGTAGCTAGGTAACCAAGGGCCCTGGGGCAAATTAAAAAATGGGGCCCCACCTCTATGTAAACTGATTAGGTTTTATCAAATATAAATATGAAATATACTTTAAAAATACTTTAAAAATTGCTAAGCTACTTAAGCCCTTTTTTGTGCGCTGCAGGGCAGGTAATAAAAATATTAAACAGTAACAACATAAATTACAATTAATACTTGGTGTAGGTTTGGCTAATAAAACGAAATAGAGAAGATTAAGGGATCATTATATAAAGGTCGGGCCTAACCAACTGACTAAATAACAATTATATTTATAATTTTTTCCTAGCATTAGTTTTCGTAAAAGTATCAATGATTTCGTTTAAATCCAGGCTTGATGTCGTTTTGTCTTCAATTGCTATTAGCGATAAATGTCGGAGTCGAGTTTGGCCCATATTATTTCTTAAATAATTTTTTATTATTTTTAATTTGCTAAAGGACCTTTCAGCTACTGCAGAAGTGACAGGAATTGTAAAGAATAATAACATTGCTGTAAATACTTCCGTTAGGTCGCATCCTAGCACTCCATATTTGCTCATTATTTCCTTACATAATTGGTGAACAGTTGCTTGAGTTAGCTGAGGTAAAACTAGGTGGTAAATACGAGGCATGTTTTTTAAGTAAGTACCGTTTTTCGATTCCGCCGCCGCAGCGCTACGGTCGGCGTTCCGCGCATGCGCGCTGGTTACCTACATCTCTTGTCTATGCACAGACGCCAGTACAGTCTGATTCTTCATTGTATACGTTGTTTATTGAGTGTTTAAGATGCCTCCAACAATCGTGAGCCCCGCCGATTGTGAAGTACGGGCTGTCATACGATTTCTTAGTGCTAAAGGCGTAAAACCGATCGATATTCATCGTGAGATCTGTGAAGTTTACGGACAAAACATTATGAGTGATGGAATGGTAAGGAAATGGGTGAGAGCATTTAAAGATGGCCGCACAAATGTGCATGATGAAGAACGGAGTGGGCGTCCTCCGGTCGTTAATGAAGATTTGGTGCAGAAAGTGGACGAAAAGGTGAAAGAAAACAGACGCTTTACAATTTCATCATTGTGCGACTACTTTCCTCAATGTTCTCGTAGTGTTTTGTATCGCATTGTGACCGAGAACTTGAATTACCGGAAATTGGGTTCCGAAAATGTTGACGGATTTGCACAAAACCCAACGTTTAGGCAGTGCATTGACTTTCCTTGAGCAGTACCACAATGAAGGTGAAGATTTTTTAGACAAAATTGTTACTGGTGACGAAACATGGGTTTCCTACGTCACACCAGAATCGAAACAACAGTCCATGGAATGGCGACATTCATCATCACCCAAAACAGTGAAGTTTAAGCAAACAATTTCTGCCCGGAAAATCATGTTCACAGTTTTTTGGGACAGAAAAGGAGTATTGCTAGTGGAGTTTCTGCCTCGTAATGAGACAATCAATGCAGCATCTTATTGTGAGACATTGAACAATCTGCGCCGTGCAATCCAAAACAAAAGACGTGGCAAGTTGAGTAAGGGTATTGTTTTGCTGCATGACAATGCCCGTCCACATGTGGCTAATCGGACCAAAGATCTCATCAAATCTTTTAAATGGGAAACTCTAGATCATCCACCATACAGCCCTGATCTGGCGCCCAGTGACTACCATTTATTCCTGCACTTGAAGAAACACCTGGGCGGTCAGCGTCTTCAAGACGATAACGAAGTCAAAACAGTTGTGATACAGTGGTTAACCAGTCAGGCGGCAGAATTTTATGAGGAGGGTATTGAAAAACTGGTGCCACGTTATGACAAGTACCTCAATATTCACGGAAATTATGTAAAAAAGTAGATTAAGGTACAGGCTTTCATGTAAAAATAAAATTATTGCGATATCTTTGCACGTTTTTTTTTAATTCCAAAACGGTACTTACTTAAAAAACATGCCTCGTATTAGTAAATAGAAGCGAAAAACTAGGGCCTATTATATCTGAATATTTTCTTTGGAATTCGTCACATTTTTGTAATAAAGTTGCTTCATCAACATGTAATAAAAATGTTGGTGTTATCGAATGTTCGAAAATCGAATATATGACAGACTGCACTTATACCAATAAAACGTGTATCTAATTGAGATATTACTGTGTCTAGTACATTATTGAAAATCTCAATTTTAAATATTTTTTCTCGGTTTGGAAATCGGTGATAAGCAGCTAATTCATCGAAATGTTTATTAACTTTTCTTTGCCATTTTTCTTGAAAATGGGTATCCATATTTTCTCGCAGATTCACTGGTTTTGCACTTGAATAATTCGAAATCATTTCTATAAATTTGCAACTTTGCTTTGGTCTCTGGCTAAAACTTTACTCGCCTCGTCCAAATTGATGCCGCATTTTTGTAAAGTTTTGGATGCATAATTGATGTCGTTCAATACACTGTGCATGAATTCGCACATATCACTATCCGTCAAATTGACAACACTGCCAACCTACAGAAAGAATTTAGGGGAATTCCCTAGGCATAACTTTTTAATTTCTCTCAACTGCATGAATTGTCATGATTAAAGTGGGGTTGCAACTTGTCATATTAATTTTGAAAATGGGAGAAATTTCCAAAAGTTCTGCTCGATCGAGATTTCTGGTAAGGATTCGAGGGCCCCCTGAGTGCACTGCCCCGCCTAGCCCCTAGGTAGCTACGCCACTGAGTGGGGGTAGTTTTCACCCTTCCCGTACTCTTCCCTGATTTTTGTGAAAGTCAAATGTTAAAGCACTTGGCAAAATATAGACACCTAAATTTTTATTCAAATACCGACTCTTAAAATATCTGAAAAAATGTGTTTATTTTTATATTAATAAACGCACATTGTATTTTACTTTTAAGCTGTATTTTTGCATTGATCTTAACATTTAATAAAACTATTTTCAGCTGCTGACGGTGAAGAATTAGCAAAGATACAGAAAGTGCGAATAATCCGAAACGAAAAAAGAGAAGGGCTGATGAGATCAAGGGTGCGGGGAGCGGATGCAGCAACAGCTACCGTTTTGACGTTTTTAGACAGCCATTGCGAATGTAACGCTAATTGGCTAGAACCGTTACTGGAGAGAGTGGCCGAGGTAACGTATTATCACGTATTATTAATTTAAAAGTTCAACAGAAACAAAAAGATGCGCTAGCAAAAAATGGTAAAAGTATTTTCATGCTTTGCGTAATTCTTCACCACTGAATCATCTCTAACATTTGGAGAATTGGCAATCCATTATACCAATAACGTATACTTTTAGAATGGCCTTATTAATTTCAACATCTATTTCGTTAATAACTCGCACCGTTGCTTTCAAAAAGATTGCGCATGCAAATATTTATTTAAAGGGTTTATGGAATAAGGTATCTACTTTTTATATAATTGTCCTAAGAATAAAAAAAACTGTAAAACAACACGAGAACTGTCTGTAAAACAATATTTTTAGTTTTTTTTACTGCCGGTCCTAACTTAATGTATGGATTGTTATAAGGAATACATACCGGATACGTCTCAAAAGTGGCGCACCCCTATAACTTTTTTATTTTTTCAAATAAAAAACGAGATTTGGCATGTTAGTATACGACCTAAATTCAGATTGATTGGTGTATTCAATTATTGTTTTCACTCACTTCCTGTTTCACCACAAATAACTACAACTTTTGATTTCGGTATTTTCCTACTTTATTCGATAGAAAATGACACTCTAAATAGAATGACGTGTCATATGTCAACTTTTAACATTTTCGAATGTGGTTTATTTAAAATTGTTACATTCGGTTCGTAACGACAATTTGACTAGAAATACTAAGTGTGTGGTGTGTGGTACCCATAGACTTAAAATAAAATATAGACTACACTATTTACATCTCAACGCGGTCAAACAATCTTTTTTGTACACATGTTTAGTTCTGTGTACAGTCGACCGAGCCTTCCTCATCCAGCCTATGTTGTCACGTCTTTAATATTATTTTTTTTCTTGTTATACACATATATTGAGATATTAATACTACATTTTAATAAAGTAGGTTTTAATATTACATAGATGTATTAAATAGTCCTTATACTACTAAATTATAAGTCGGATACTGTTTAAAAAGGATAAGTTCTTTACAATATGACAACACCGATTAGAGGCGAGGGAGCCTATTCATTCATTTATTACCTTGTAGTACGCGTCGTACGTGTGCGGTAAAGCTTTGTTGCCGCTATGTCCCCGGACATAAATTAGATTATACGATTTATTGACGTATTCAATTGTTTTTGGTCTCTTCCTGTTTCACCGATATGATTACATCTTTTGATTTTTAAAGGCACCCTCGGTATATTGCTACTTTATTCGATAAAAAATGGCACTCTGAATAGAATGACATATCATATGTCAACTTTTGACATTGTCGCTTAAAAACAAATCGTATTTTAAATTTCAATCCAGGGTGCCATGGCGTTGTTAAAAACACTAAGTTTTAATCAAGGAGCCTTGGAAAAATAGTTTTGATCGTCTAATAGGTTTCGTGTCTTGTCTAGGCCGGTTAAAAGATGTACAAATCGATTTTTTAATCATACATATGTCAGTTTTTTCAAATGGAACAAGGGTGACTCATTAGCAATTACAATTAAACCATATGCGAAAATGTCAAAAGTTGACATATGATATGTCATTCTACTCAGAGTGTCATTTTCTATCGAATAAAGTAGAAATATACCGAGGGTGCCGTTTAAAAATTAAAAGTTATAGTCATTTCCGGTGAAACAAGAAGTGACCAAAAACAATTGAATACGTCAATCAATCCTAATTTATGTCATATACTAACATACTAAATCTTGTTTTTTTATTTGAAAATATAAAAAAATTATGGGGACGAGCCACTTTTGGGACGCACCCGGTATAATAAAGACAGTACCAAGTTTCTCTATTTTACATAATAAGACATCACTTAACCAGAAAAAAAATTTCAACAATCATATATTTCTTTTTCTCTCCCTGTCGCCGATTCTATTATATCTGTGGAATAGATCCTGTTTTAATTAATATTAGGGGTTGTAAATGTTTGACTAAAATTAATAATTTATTATTAATTTCAAAAATTACGTAATTTCGATTATAAAATTTCTTCTATAACGTGTATTTTATTATTTTTATCCTTTTTGGACTCTAAGACATTTTTTCTAAACTTTTATTTAAAAAAACCTGTCCTAAATCTTAATAAAATATAAAAAAGTTTAAATACGATATATTTTTAATTTAATTATAGCTTCATTAAAACAAACAAATTACCCGGCTATGATACAGAGAGTTCAGGTGTACTTGAGAAACGAAAGACAGTGTTGTGTTTCTCGTCAGAGTCGTTCGGGAACGACCGTTACGACAGAGACAACCTATCTATCGCTCGTGTCGCACTCGTTATAACCTAAAACAATAACACAACAATAACAAGACATTGTCTGACCGCATGTTCCAGCTATTTATGAATGAGATGCTCAGTCTATATTTTATTTTAAGTCTATGGTGGTACCTAATTATTCGTAAAATTTTTTTTTTCCAAATATGTATGCTAATGAGCTACCCTCGTTCCATTTGAAAAAAATTGAAAATACGATTTAGGGAGCTTTTAATCTGCCAGGACAAGACACTGAAAACATTGGATGATCAAATCTAGTTTTCCAAGGCCTTTTGATTAAAAATTAGTGTTTTTAGCGCCATGCGTTTTTAGATTATAATTAACATTACCATTACACCATTACACTCTAGATTGAATTTTAAAAATTCGGTTTCTTTTTAAGCAAAAATGTCAAAAGTTGCCATATATGCCATTCTATTCAGTGTCATTTTCTATCGAATAAAGTTGTAGTCATTTCCGGTGAAACAAGAAGTGGCCGAAAATAATTGAATACGTCAGTCAATCCTAATTTATGTCATATACTAACATACCAAATCTCGTTTTTTTATCTGAAAAAATAAAAAAGTTATAGGGGTGAGCCATCTTTGAGACGCTCATAAAAAAACAACACAGAAAAAATGCTAAAATAATGCTAAAATATAAAGTGTTCTCTGAATAGTTTTTAGACATAAATATATATTTTTGTCTTTTTGTTTCTGACGACTGCAGAAGTTATACCATACGTCTATTAAAACCGTTCATTTTTTAATTTTATGTTGCTTTCTTTTTGTAATATATCAGGAGAGTTCATAATTTTTACACAACTTTCATATTGAGCCCCTAAAATTGCATCTCTGTTGCAATTTAATCCTTTCTGTACTTTTTGTTGTTCTAGGGATTCCATTAGTAAAAACTCCAGTCTTGAACATTTTGTTTAATTAATACATATATGTATTTACAGATATGCGAAATACAAATAAAAAGTCGGGATAATTTTATACCGGGTGTCCCATTAAAAAATAAAACATAAAATAAATGTTATATATTTTTAAACTTTCTGGACCACATTGTATAGTCAATATCTAGCGCCATGCTTTAAAATAGGTGTATGGAATATTTGCAAGAATTTATATTCTGAACTGTTTAGTTATACAAGGCTTATACATTAGGGTGGATCGTAAATCTCAAAATTTTAAAATTTTTTAAACATCGACTTGGAATACCTACGAAAAGTTGCCTTTGGTAATGTTGATAAAAAAGTGTTACTGCAACTTTTTAATAAAATCACATCTTCTGCCCTCTACCAGCCCTTAAAAAATGAAAGATCGATTTGGAATATCTACCAAAAGTTACCTTTAGTAATGTTGATAAAAAAGTTTATTTAAATATTTTTGATTAAATCACGTCGTCTGCCCTCTACCGGCTGTTAAAAATTGAAAAAAAAAAGAATTTCAAACCTAGAATACTTGCCTGTTTGATAACAGCGCATGCAAATGCGAATTTTTTGACCAATGTTCTTGCGAAAAGAAAAAAAAGGTACCTAAAAATGAACAGGATTTTTTGATAGATCAGAGGGGGCTTAGAAAAATGGTTATTAGGAAAATTGATATAATGGAAACCTCAAAGCTGATAAACAAGGCCAGCAGAAGAGAAAAATATATGCAACGGAAAGAACTACAATAATCCATCCAACATGAAAGCAACATCAATTTATCAAGAAAGCCTTCCACTTCCTATGACAGTATCAAAAGAAAAATCCAGCGTACAAAATTTTTTGTCAAACTTCCTACCCTGGCTAAAGTTTGTGACCGCTATGGACTATCAGATAGATCTGCAGAAGCAGTGGCAACGTGGCAACGGCAGTGCTACACGACCTTGGAATTGTCACCAAAGACGATAAAAAAAACATTACAGATCGTTGTAAGCTGAGAAGAGCAAGAGAGCACACAAGAAACAATTTTCAGCAAAACTCCTCGGAAACTTTGAAGGCCATTTATTTTGACGGAAGGAAAGATAAAACCTATGTTATTGAAAATATTGAAGGCAAGTCCCACAGAAGAACTGTACTTGAAGAACATATTTCTTTATTTAAGGAGCCGGGTTCTATATTTTGTCAGAGTATTGTGACCTTTTTCGAAAGTAATGAATATAACCTAGAAGAACTAGTAGCAGTAGGATGTGATGGAACCGTGGTGAATACAGGAAAAAAAATGGTGCAATTTCTCAATTAGAATTAAAATTAGAACGCCCTTTACAAAGATTGGTCTGCCACAAATCCCACAAATTAATTTTGACGCAGATGACTGTGTTGATCTAATTGATTGGCAAAAAAATGAAATAACTTGTCCCCCATTATTCCAAACTTTGGAAGTAGATGATTTAAAAAATATGATTTTTAGTTCTTCTGAAACAATCATCGCCATCGCTGCCTTTCCCTATCACACTCAATCAATAGAGAGATGCATAAAACTTGTAACCGACGCATCTTTATCAGTTGCAGGCATACAAAAGAGAGACAGTTTTATATATAAAGACAAAAATAGATTCGCGCAAACTTATGCCACAATTTGAGTCAAAAAAGACTACACTCAGAAAAAAAATACATTTTAAAATGCACAATAAATCACGTTAAAATAATTAACTCGTTGTATGGAATTCCAAAACGCAGGGATAAGACATCCTTATAATAAATTTATTTTAAACACGAGAGTATTTTATTTCTATAAGAATTGCTAACATTTCTGTTAGGCTTTTGCCACGTGATTAATATTTTCCAATAGAAAGTCATGCATTTGAGGTGGACATCGAAAGATGGTGTTTGGCGGTATTGACGGGATAAGTCCGATTAGGCCACACGTTGTTGTATGATTTTTGTCGGGTTCCATGATTTTGAATAGTACCTACAATGATATTTATTGTATATGACAGTTGTTAGTGACAAAAAGGAGAACTGTATCGTTTACAGGTAATGTGTTGTTTAAGTAGTTGTTTAGAATGATCAAACGTTAATATTATTTCAGTAGCATTATGGCGGCCAAAGGTTTTCTTGAAGAGTGATGGAAACGACGCCGGCCGAAATGATGCATTGCGATTTTGAATTTAACGCTGGACGAATTCAACAATTCAAATTTGCAAAGTAATATTTCACTAGATGATGAAAATTCAGATGTAGAGGAATACGAAGTCAAGCTAGCAAAATTGTTAAAAAGGTGGAACTTACTACAGCTCGTACCAGTATAAAAGGTAAAAAAATATATTGATTATTACATTACAGAATGTACAGGGTGAGTCAACGATAGAGTAAGGTCATTATCTCCTTTGTTTTGAGATTTATAAAAAATGTTAAATATAAAAGTTATAGGGAGGGTTAAGATACACATTTTAAAATTATTGTAGAATATACAGAGTGCTTCAAAAAAGTGTTGCGGATATAACATGTTAAATGCAACACCGTATTTTTTATTTTATTTTTTAAATTCTACGTAAAATTCTATAACTTTTTTATCTAATAATATTTTTTTATAATATACAGGGTCCGGCAGTAGTGCGTCGGGCATCTGTAGCTCCTAGAATAATAAACTTCACAATTTTGATTAGTTCAGACCTAAAGTATATACGAGGATGTATTTCAGGAAAATATTTCAACTTCTATAGGGTGGCTCAAAAATGTGTAAGTGGATCGGTATGTTTTTTTTTAAATGGAACACCTTGTATATTATTGGATTTTTGGCTTCCTTTTGGACCACTTTACATAATATATTATATATGAGTAAATATATTTCGATAATATCAGAGATATTAATAAATAAATAAAAAATATATTTTTTCCAACCTTCCTTATTTTTTTTTACTTTATGAAGCACCCAGTATATTCTACAATATAACAATACAAATAATATACAATACAAAAAAATATACAATACAAATATATTCTACAATAATTTAAAACGTGTATCTTAACCTTCCCTATAACTTTTGTATTTAACATTTATTTGTAAACTTCCAAACAATTATTGAGATAATGGACTTTACTCTATCGTTGACTCATCCTGTACAGAACAGAAATTTGTACAGGGTGGAAAATTTAATGTATTACCCAACGACAATATTTTTTCGCGAAAGAATGAAGAATTTTTTTTTCAAGAAATTTAAGAACCCCACTTTTTAAATTCAACATAGCGCGATTTTCTCATCTATAGAGGCGTTAGGAACCTAAAAAATACTATTTTTTGCAATTATACGATTCAGAAAACCTGCAAATCCTGTATACCCTGTATAGAAACATTTCTGTTTCAGGTTAATTCCAGTTTTAAGATGGAGAATATTATATCATATATTTAAGTAAACGTTGCTTTCTTTTTTAGAATCTCTGTGACCTTTGAAGGAATCTAATAAAGACAGATCAATTCCAGGACATTACAAAAACCATTCGTCACTAGACAAAATTCACCAGGATACCCTTATATCTATTATTTTTTTTTATTTTGGAAGACATTCAATACAATTGTATTTACCTACTTATCACCAAAAGATTAATTCCGAAATAAAGTTATTTTCCTAATAAATTTGATATTTATTTCATTTAAATTGTTAGTACTGATCCTATTCGATTAAAATCAACTCAAGTTTTAAACAAAGTGACATATTAATAAATCATTAAGCATTGCATTTGAAAATATAAAGAGAAAAGCTTGAAATAAAAGGAATGTATTTGAAAAACAAAGGAAAACACTAATAAACAAATGTATATTTCTTTAAATCAAATAGGCAGCATTTTTATTCTAAATCTGATATACCACTAACAATGACAATGATCATGTATGTTTTATATACGAGTATATGCATAAAATCAATAGATATCTTATTAATTCAATTATGACCATTAATGAGGCCAAAACATGTTTGATTTTATTTGATTCATTAGCATTATTTTTGATTTTACAACGTTTTTTCTCTCAGTGTACAATCAATAAGTGAGCAAAAATAAATGGATGAGGGAGGGTGGGATGGAACTCGCCGAGCAATTACCACCCCGTGGTGAGTTCTGGGTTGTTTAACAATACTGAATACCTACATAAAATATTGTTAAACAAGCGAAAAACTGCTCTAAGTGCAGTGCTCTGCTCGACACATTTTTAACTCTTTGTTAAAGTGTGTAAATATTTGGGTATTTATAAAAAAATTGTTTGAACTTGGTACATAGGGTACACTGAGTAGGGGGGTTAAAATGTCATATTTCAATAAGATATATTATTTTTAACTACAAAAGTAACTTATTACCTGAAATTTAGGCTATTATATTTTTTACTTTTTTTGAAGCCCGGGAGAGGGCAAAAGATGAAAAAAAAAATTGAAAAACTTTAAAAAGATATTAGTTTTCTAATACCAATTGGCAATTTTTGCGCAGTATTCCGAAACGATTTTCAAAACTTCGATTTTTCGATCCACCCTATTATACATTCCTCCAAAAATATACAAACCAAACCAATTGAATCGCTATTAAAATATGTTTCTTATTTGTTTTTGTCCTTGATCAATGTTGTTTAAGTTGGTAATTTTTGCTAGGATCCAACTAGGGTGGTATCGCCTGTTATCGACGTTATTAGTATGGACAATTTTCAATATATCGGTGCATCCGCCGATTTACGAGGCGGATTCGACTGGACCATGGTGTTTAAATGGGAGTTCTTAAGTTTTGCTCAGAGGGAAGCCAGACGACGCGATCCAACCAAAGTAAGTCATAAAATGTATAACTATAACAGACTATATTTGCAGCTGTAATTGTATCAAAACGAATATTTCAACCAATTTTTAGAACTGCGAAACCAAGGCCCATGGTTTCAATAATTTTTATCCAATTTTTCAACTGGCAGACCCTCTCACATATTAGTCAGACTATTTTTTTGTTCTTAACTGCACCAACACATCTCACTAAAAAAAGTGCAGTATATTTTCTAATGCATTTTCTGCCTCAACCCATCGGAACTCCCCGCCGCCCTTCTCCGTACGAGCCCTGACTTATTGAAGTCGGCCCGTCCGCGTCCCCCCAAAACCTGATATATGCGAATTTAGAGGGGCGAATAATAGAATTTTTTTAAGGGCAATAATGGTTTCAATAATTTTTATCCAATTTTTCACCTGTTAGACTATTACCCATTCTCACATATCAGCTAAACTATTTTTTTCTTAACTGCACATTATTAACATCTCTCGCTAATAGAAATATTTTTATCGCTGGAAAAATAAGGGCATTTTCCGCCTTAACACATCGGAAAATTCCCCCTACATATACAGGGTGGTTCACCACATACGACATGGAGTATTGTAGTTAAACGATTAGATTTTTACAAATTGTAAGTTTTGGGTTCTTTGAAGAACTATTAGAGGTACAATTTAAAAATAATTTTACAAGATACAGAGTGTCGCAAATAAGTAAAAATTATTATAGTTGTATTTTTTTAAATGGAACACCCTGTATATTATTCTATTTTTAGATTCTACGATTGAAATAAAGGTAAATTTCATAAAGGTTTATCACACTTAAACCGTTTTTAAAATATTTTCAGTTTGGTGAAATTGTAGTAAAAGATGTATGGCTTCATTTCTCCAAGGGTATTAAAGATTTTAATACTAAGTATTTACTGAATATTATTTATTGATCAGTTATTGTGTGGCAATAATAAAAATTATACTACCTTATAGAGAATGTCCAAAAATTTATATTACAGAATTACTAGCTTTAAACGGCAATAACTTGTTTAATTTAAATAGAACACCCTGCATATTTTACGTTAATCAGATGTACAATTTAATTGTCTATCAAATTGTATTATACCATCTTTTACCTATCTCTTCAAGTTTTCGTAGAAAATGCATTTTCTTATAATTTAGACCATATTTATCACTATACCCATGGAATATTGACATTTCAGATTTTTTTTAAAGCGACATATGCACAAAATGTACAGATGGTAAAAATAATAATATTGCAAGCCCATTTGTTTACAAAAAGAAAACTATTTAAATCTTTGTAAAAGAGCATACCAATTATTACTAATTTATTAATATACCACCATTATTTCCACCCAAAAATTAGTTAATTACATACTTAATTGTTTTAATTAATAAATTATTCCAAATAAATGTGGATTTGACTCAGAAATCAATACAATAATACGTTATGAAAATGAACGTCTCTGCTGTTATAAATAAGCATTTGCCAAAAAATGAAATAAAATTTATAAGGTGTTACTTTTCCCTTTAACAAATATTTAATTATTAATTTTAAACAGTTTTTATATTTTTTAAAGAAATAAACGAACTATATCCACAATATTAGTATTTGAACTCTTTAAAAATTTGTTACATCTTTAAAAATAATCTGAAATGTCAATATTCCATGGATATATTGCTAAATGAGGTCTAAATTATAAGAAAATGCATTTTCTACGAAAACTTGAAGAGATAGGTAAAAAATAGTATAATATAGTTTGATAGACAATTAAATTGTGCATCTTATTCTCGTAAAATATACAGGGTGTCCCATTTAAATTAAACAAGTTATTGCCATTTAAAACTAGTAATTATTTAATATAAATTTTTGGAGTAATATTGTTATTATTGCAAAACAATATATGATCAATAAATAAACCTCAGTATATATTTAGTATTAAAAACTTTGATACCCTTGGAGAATGAAGCATTAAAATTTTTACTGCAATTTCATAAAATTGAAAATATTTAAAAAAATGTAAGGTTGAAGTGTGATCAACCTTAATGAAATTTACCTTTATTTCAATCGTAGAATGTAAAAATAGAATAATATACAGGATATTCCATTTAAAAAAATACAACTATAATAATTTTTACTTATTTGGGACACTCTGAATCTTGTAAAAATATTTTTAAATTTTAGCTCTAATAGTCCTTCAACAAACCCAAAACTTAAATTTGCAAAAATTTAATCGTTTAGCTACAATACTCCGTGTCGTATGTGGTGAACAACCCTATATATGAAATATGCTTGGAATAACATACCGAATAATTCTATCGGTGTTTGCTGGCTGGGAAAATAAATACCGAAAATCCCGGACCATAGAAACATCCGACCGGTAATTTTTTTTAGAAAAACTGTAAATTTACAGAAAAAGTGTAAATTTTGCTAAACATATTTCATAATATCGGTATATCAGTTCTTCGCTTTCGCACTTCTCTCTTGAGTGTTCAGATATAGGCGTATTAAATAAAACTGTTCCTTTTAGGAAATTAAGACTCCAATGATAGCTGGTGGCTTGTTCGTGATCAACAAAGCTTATTTCGACAAACTGGGCAAATACGATATGCAGATGGACATTTGGGGAGCAGAAAACTTCGAAATATCTTTCAGGGTTTGGCAGTGCGGTGGCAGTCTAGAAATAATACCATGCAGCAGGGTAATAATCACTAAATTTATTAAATTATTGTATTAACTGTTTTCTTATTTTTAGGTAGGGCATGTTTTCAGGAAGAAGCATCCGTACACTTTTCCTGGCGGGAGTGGATCAGTATTCGCAAAAAACACTAGAAGAGCTGCAGAAGTATGGATGGACGAATACAAGAACTTTTATTATTCGGCTGTGCCATTAGCTAGGAATGTACCATTTGGAGAGTAAGTTTAACAAAAATTTTTGAAGACTAACTGAACTTTTCATATCCGAAGATTTATATTTCCATTTCCCGTTAGATTTTTTCATAACTTTTTTGGACTCGAATTTTCAGTACTTATCGACACCATTTTATCTTCTGTTTTAGAATAAGTAAATTCCTTTAATTTCTTCCTGAATTAATATAAGTTTATATCGTCGTGGTTACGCTAATCATAGAGTTATAACTCCCTTTAGGGTTTGGGACATTATTAACGGGAATTAAGATGTCATAACTTCCTTTACCTCTTATTGGTAACATCCAAAGACATCTAAATGGGTAGACAGAACACTCCATTCATAAAACTCAATTTTTTAGAATCATACATGGTTTGACACTTTTATGAGAGTTAAAAAGAGATGGGTACATAAATATGACAACACGGTTGAGTTTCGTCTATCTTTCTGTCATTTGGCTCTATCGTGGCGTGATGTTTTTTTTATCAAAAATTGATGAATTTTATTAAAAATTGATTGGGACTGTCTCAGACCAATTTTCCATTATAACTAGTTTTGCCTGAGGAGAGGTATTTTTGTAATAATCTACTTATAACTAAAAGTATCTAAATACACTACTGTAAGCAGTGTAAGCATGGCTAAAGGCAAAAAAACGTAATGACACTTAAGTACCGTCGAAATATCAATTCCGGGTTAGAATAGTCCACCTTTTTACAAACTATGCACTGGCGAACCATCGTAGATAGTTAAAAACTACTTTAAATAGTTTTCTTTGCAATAAACACTAATACTTATTAGACAGTTGTTCAAAAACTACAGAAACTTTCAACTACCGCAGAAAACTCACAACTGCGCGCTGTCAAATACAATTTGAATGAAAACAAATGAAAACGTCAACTGTCAGCGTAATTCCTACAGATTTCGACAATTTCGTAGTAAAGATGAATCCACAGCGATGCCGCTAGTTGTCATTGTAATTTCCCTAATATAATTTAATTAGAAAACTAAAAATAATTTCAAAGGTATAATCCTGGCACAATCTATGTATATTAATTAAAGTTATATACCTATACAGACATTTAGTTTAACGTTTCTATAGGTACCCAAAAAACATTAATAACAATAATAGCATTTGGAACTGGAACCGTATTCTATCACATAGGTACCGCGTAAATCTGTCATCATCGATTTTTGCGGAACTTGTTTTGTCTCCCTTTATTTAGATGTGTTTGGTAACAACCAATACAATAGAGATTGTGAGTAATAAAATAAAATGAAAATGGACAAATATTTCGTAATATTTGTAACTCTCTAACAATTTATTTACATCGTTAATATCACATACAATAAATTTACAAGAATTTCATTGACATCCCCTGCTATAGAATGTTCAGCCATCGTTCAACGTCACGTCAGAAATTGTCGAACTCTCTCAATCACTTGCCAACCAGATGAAAGAGATTGGTGACGTCATTACTCACTCCGAAATTCTAGGAAATAAACATCTCACTCATACTGTAAATGTTGTGATTTACCGGACTCATAACGTAAATATGTATTGTTTCAGTATTAGCGACAGATTGGAAATTAGGAGGAGGCTCCAATGTAAGCCTTTCAGATGGTACCTGGATAACGTGTATCCAGAGCTTACAGTTCCTTCCACCATTCCTCGTCCAGGAGAAATTCGTCAGGGTTCCTACTGCCTGGACACTCTAGGCCATGTACTAGATGGCACTGTTGGTATCTACCAGTGTCATCACACAGCAGGTAATAAAACAATTTCGCAGGGTAATAAAAATGTACATCGGAAAATAGCTATAGGAAACTCGGTTAAAGTTGGCGTGCACATCATAAAAATATTTGACAAATGCACGTCGCTATGTTACCACGGCTAATTTTTTTCCCTGACTTTTGACAAGTCTTAAATAAAATTTGTAATTTTGTCACAGATCCTTCACTTCAGTTTTCGATGCAATACATCTACAAATACTTTTAAAGTGTTATATTTTTGTTATTTTTAGCCCTATTTTCATGAATTTTTTAGCAAATTGTATATAATTATATCAACTTTAATTCGTAAACTGAGTTTTTTATAAACTTTAGTATTTGGCATATTATACAGGGTTAATCGTGGGTTTTTTTATCCTAAATTTAAAACATCCTGTGCATTAATTTCGTGTGTACAGGGTGGTCGAAATTGGGCTGTTTTAACAGAGAAAACATATTTCCTGACTGGATAGAGCAAACCGACATAGATGTCATGGGCTCGATTTCTGAGACACGTCTAATGGTGTAAACCGCCTGTTGACATTTTCACTGCCAACTGAGATACGGGGTATTTTTGAATGTTTTACCATTTGGAAAATTGCCCATAACTTTTGTATTTCGCGGAATAATAAAATTCTGTAAAAACGTTCTTAAGGCACTTTTTTAAGCACAATCCAATGGCGTAGTCAGTTTTTTTCTATACTTGCTTTTTTAGGGTGTTTTAAAATTAAGGTAAAAAACAACCCCTGTATAATATGCCAAATACTAAAGTTTATAAAAAATTTGACGACATGTTTGAAGAGAAAAATATTCAATCAATGCGTACTACCTATTCTAACGTGTATGGTGCGGAAACGCTCACATTAACCAAGAAAACTATAAGCAAAATCAGAACAACGCAAAGAGCAATGGAAAGATCAATGTTGGGGCTATCTCTGAGAGACAAACTACCCAATATCGAAGTAAGAGGCAGAACAAAAATCACAGATGCCATAGAGAAAATAACCACATTGAAATGGAATTGGGCATGGACGAAGAAAATGATAGAATGGAGACCAAGACACGATGCATTCAGGAGCAGAGGCCATCCTCCAACCAGATGGCATGACGACTCAAGGCGTATCCACAGTAATTGGATACAAATAGCTTAAGATAGGGAGTTATGGAAGCAAACGAAGGAGGCCTACGTCCAGCTGTGGACTTTAGTGGCTGGTTGATGATGATGATGAACTCATGCCAACAATTATTATTTGTTTTGGTTGGTGTACAAAACACAAAACCTTTTTTATTGTCCAGTTCGTTTACTTAATATAATCCTTGTTTACCAGGATACAAAATTATAAGGAAACGAAAAAACTGCGCTCTAATAAGTTTCAAACTAATATTTATTTAAAAATAATGTCTATAGGTACCTCTGTACTCGATTATAATAGGACTGTTGTTTGACAATACTTACTGCATTCTTAGTTTGTAGTAAAAACGTTCGCAATTCTTTTATTCAAGTTTTATTCAGCCACATTTTGAAATTATTCATTGGATATATTTATTAACCACTGCAAAATACCTACATATTATGACATTGAATTTTGCGTCAAAGAGCTTTCAAGTTATACCGTATGATTGAAAAAAAGGCGTCCAGTTAGCTTGGAAATTACGATCGATGCTATTCCTCATATAATTTTACATACAAAATATAACAGCGATCTTCATTTCCAAAAGCCACCTCTGAGGCCTACCCTTTATGGAATCTAGCAGCAACAGTTTACATCAAAGTTAGCACACAGGGGACACAGGTATAATTTCTAACACCACAAATACAAATTCCAAAAACTCACCATTCAAACACAAAAATCGGATTTCTGTTCGAATAGATCAAACACGAAAATGGGTTCAGGGATAAAGAATAAGCGCTTTTGACAAATTTTCACGTATAATTTTGTTACAATTTTTTCATTGCGAGACCCTGAGTCGTTTTTCGACATTAGTTGAGGTTAGAATAGAATTTCAGCTGCTATAACAAGGCTAGAAGTATGAGTATAAAAAAACTAAGTCAAACTCAACCAGTTTTGTTCGTTTTAGTCATTTTAAAGCCCATTTAACATCGACAAACAACAGAATTCGCCATTCACCTCGAATTTCATTAAATCAAAATGCTAAATACACAATGCAAAATGCAAATACAAACAACAAACAACTGTCAAGATGGATTGTGGGAAATAATTTGCGCCGGCGTTTTAAATTCTGTGTATTACTGGGAGTGGCCAAGCTCATGAATATCCAGATTATCCAGAAGATATCAACAGGATCTTGTTGTCTTGACATAATATATATGTATTTGTATGGTTTATTGCATTTTATGTAACATAAAAAGTAGTAAATTATTTATTTTTTCCTAAATATCTAGACGATATTGTTAGGATATTTTATTATCTTGAGCATAATTGGATATCTCAGCTGGATGTACATAAGATATAAGACAGATATATCTATAGGTTATTCTATTCTAAGACATCTACAGGATTTCAGGATGTCTAGAGGATATCCTATAGATGTTTTTTATAGGATGATCTTGTAGTGGGATATTTCGATATTCTATGAATATCCTGCGGATATTGTGTATTATATGGGGCCCATACTAAAATATGTTAATAAAAAGTTGGTAGGCAGTTCTTTTAGTTTAAAAGTAAAGGAATTTTTCCAATTTATTTTATCTCAAAAACTGCGACTTTGGCCGATTTTGATGTTATTACAAATTTTGTTGCAAATATTATTCCCAATATTAAATTGAAAACCGCGTTTTGCTAGCTACTGTAATTTTGGAGTTACGATTTTTAAAATGTTTAACCCCCTCCCATACCCCCTTACCAACCCTCTACCCCCACCAAAAACTAGTATCCAGATTCGTGTGTGCCACAGTATTTTTGTGCCAAATTTGGTTAAAATCGGTTTAGCGGTTTTTGAGTTATCGTGTTACAGACGGACAGACAGACAGACACCATGAAAATATTTTGTATTTAGGTCATTTATGACCCAAATAACTCATTTTGAGTGAAATTAAAAAAACTTTTTTTTGTCGATCTTAAAATAACTATTTTATTTTGTAGATTTTCTCACAGTGCAAGTGGCCAAATACCTAAGAGACTTTTTTAGAGTAAATTTTTTTATTACAAATTTAATTTAGTAATAATATCGACGTTTTGATGATGCGCAGGCCCACTTTTATTAATTTCTCTATAGGTGAATATTTTTTACATTATTTTTTTACTAATTTTTTCTATTCTAGGCAACCAAGACTGGACTTTAACCAACGAGGGCCTACTGAAGCATCAAGACCTCTGCCTCACGTTGGTGAACTATATGAAAGGATCTCAGCCTGTCATGAGATTGTGTGACGGGTCGGAATGGCAAATGTGGCAGCTCATAAACCCGGACGGGCTCTTGAGGCATTCGAAATTACCTTTATGTTTAGATACGCGCCATAACGATATTAAGGGCATTACGTTGGAACGGTGCAATAGCGCTTACGATACTCAGAAATGGCAATTGATTGTGATTTCTTAAAACTAAGTTCTCTTTATAGTCTAGCCAAATTGTATTTTTTTGAGGTAGTTCTAACTTAATATTTCCTTAATATTTTTCGAAACCGCTTTTGCGGTTTTTTTGCTTGAAACTCCCAAACTTTTTTTTTCAGAATTAATACCTCTGTACAAAATTAAAGCAGCCAAAATTTCCTAAAAATTCAGTTCTCTATATTTTTTTCTCAGAAAATCCAACTAAGCTCTAGGGCTGGTTTAAAATTATCGTATTTTGAGCTATCGCTTCAAAATAGTTTTTTTTTCACTGAAAAGGCCGGATGTATAAATTCCTTTATGAAAAATTTTGGTTGCAACAAAACAAAAATTAAAAATAATTCTGTGATAATATCGCATTCATAAAGCACTTAAATTTATAGTTTTGTTCTTTAGAGTCCTCTTAGCACTAGAACTTTGAATAAGAAGACTAAGGAAGGAGCATAATGCTATCCATGTATTCATGCATGGTGGGCGGAAAAAGGACCATAACTCTCTAGGGTGGGGATCCTTGACAGTTCTGTTTGACGATTCATTTGACACATTTGAATTTGATTTGAAATTTTGAGGATTTGTCAGTCTTTACGGAGCTTATTTTATGTTATTTATTATTTATTCTACTACTGATAGTTGTATAAAGGTAGTAAATCTAGATGGAAATTGTAGCAGAACTTAAATTAACAGTGACACTATCGCGATTTATCGAAAAAGACTCTATAATAGTTGGTTGTGTAGCGTGCGGTAGATCTCGGCAAAAATGTGTGAAATAATGGAACAACTTTTCGCTAGTAAGCGACTATATAATATATATACGTGTGGTAAACGGATCATTTATGAAATTCACTTAAATTAACGAATTATATATTTTTTCTTGCATTTTTGCTTTTATTTACTACTTGTCAAAGATGAGATGTCAAAGAATTTATATACGTCAATTTGACTTACCTGCTTCAGTAGCCTATCGGATGTTTATAGTTATAAATAATTATTATAACTTAACTATTTTTATTAGAATTTTATATTTTTATAACAATTTTAATAACTACCAACATTTATTCACAACATAAAATAAAATAAAAAATATTGAGTCTACCCCACATCTACCCTACATCATAGTTTTACATTTTTTAAATAAAATTAGAACGGCACTGATAAACCAGAATTTAAGTCGGCCATATTTGAGCCCCATCGCGGTGGATCTAAGATTTTTGATATGCTCCTTCCTTAGTCTTCTTATTCAAAGCACTAGAACGAGACCTTTTCATGTGTTTTTCCGCTCGCACACATTTTGATTTTTTTTTTCATTATATGTGGTTTTGTTGGAAATCCAGTCGTGCACTTAAAAGAAAACACTTAGTGAGTGTTATCGTGCATGTGAAGCGATATTATATTTATAGAAAGAAGATATGTATTATCTGTACCTTAAATCGTCCTCTGCAGTCTGATTTCTATGTATTTGTTTACCATCTAGATCCATTAAAAATAAGTTTGAAACTTCAGCAATATCGTCCCAGCGTGCTTGAGGATCTTTAAAAATCATAAATGATGGATTTCAAGTCATTATTTTTCTGTAAAACTTTCAGAAATTTGAATATCCCCTGGATAACCATTGCCGAAGTTGTGTCACGCCCATTTATTGCAAGTTTTGTCGGCTGTAAGAAAGGATATATTGGAGTGTTTGAGATACATATCCTTTCTCTGGTGTCAGAAAGAAGACATTCTTTATATCAGGACTACATAGGCCAATCAAAATTAATAACGAGTGAATATACCCCCTATAGATTAAATAAGTCGGCCATATTTTTTTTATTTAATCTATGCCTTGAAAAAGGAATAATCCCGTCTCAATGGAACAACGCCATAACGATACTTCTCCATAAAAAGGGCGATATCACCGAGCTTGAAAATTAGACCGATAAGCCTTCTTTGTCACTTGTATAAGCTGTTTACCAAAATCATTGCCAAACGTCTCGAACGTAAACTAGATTTCTATCAACCAAGAGAACAGGTAGGCTTTAGGAAAGGTTATGGAACAAACGATCATCTTCAAGTAATTAAAGTCCTGATAGAAAAATCTGTGGAATACAACAGGCCCCTAGCATTGGTGTTCGTTGATTTCCAGAAAGCATTTGACACAGTAGAATTAACATCAATTATAGCAGCATTGGAGCAGGGAAGAGTAGATTACAAGGCTTATAGAATACATATATAGTAATGCCACCACAACTGTAAAACTTCACGAAACAACAGATAAAATTGGGGTAGGCAGAGGAGTTCGACAAGGGGATACTATTTCGCCTAAACTTTTTACAGCTGTCCTTGAATACGCAATGAAATTTCTTGGGAGAATAGGGGCATAAATATCGATCGTGAAAGGTTGACACATCTCAGATTCGCAGATGACATCGTCCTTGTCTCAGATAACATCGGAGATTCAAAGCAGATGCTCGAAGAATTAGTGCAGGCCTCATTAAAAGTCGGTCTCCGGATAAATACGAGTAAAACGCAAATAATGACAAACTTAGTGCTGACACAGAACATCAGAATAGGTGACGCCGACATAAAAGAAACCCATATATACAAATATCTCGGGCTTTGAAATACAAATCGGAAAGAACAACCAAACACATGAGATACAGCGCAGAATAGGTTTGGGTTGGGCTGCTTTGGCAAACTGCGGGAGACCTTTAAAAGTGATATACCCATATGCTTGAAGAGGAAAGTTTATGAACAATGCGTCTTGCCGGTAATTACATGGAGCGGAAACTCTAACATTAACGAAAAGTCAGCAGAAAATTTAAGAGTAGCCCAGAGAGCCATGGAGAGAGCCATGCTTGGAATAACTAAAAGAGACAAAATTCCTAATAACACTATCAGACAAAAAACCAAAATTAAAGACATAGTGGAACACGTAACTCGAATGAAATGGAGATGGGCAGGTCATGTGGCGAGAACATCTAAAGACAGGTGGACTAGAAGATTGTTAGAATGGCGACCTCGAGCAGATAAACGTAGCAGAGGCAGACCACCGACACGCTGGACCGATGATGTAAAGAGGATTGCTGGAAATTGGATGATGACGGACAAAAATCGAGAGACATGGAGAAATATGGAGGAGGCCTACGTTCAGCAGTGGACAACGATGGCTACATGATGATGATGATGATACCCCCTATTTTGACGTAATTATTTAATGGGACCAGCCTAAATGCTTCTCGCAATAAGGACGTGGGCGTCCTCCACAGCTTGATGTGATACAATTTATTCCTTTTCTGTGGGACAGCAGGGACACAGTAAATAATATTAGCAGCAAATTACTTTCTTTGCATTCTTGTCGAACTTTCTATGCCCCTTGGTGCTTCCATAATCTTCTCGAGAGTAGCCATCAAAAATGACAAGGGAAATAGACAAGACAGAATAAGAACTAAGCTCGAAACAATTCGTTGGAAAAGTGTGATTAGATTGTAATAATTATAGTTATGTTTTCTATCAGTACAGAGTTGTTCAGTATTATTGTTCCCTTCATTTAAATTTGAGAGTTTAAGAATTACCACCCATAATTATTGTCGTAGATGGTATTGGAATAATTTCGTGGTAAATATTGTTAAAATCACTGTCTATATAACATTCAACTTAAAATTTAAAAAAAAAACATACTAGACTTTAATGATAAATTAAGGGTTTTGGAGTATACAAAGTAGGTATTTGTGGAGATTTTTTTCACTTTTTTACATTTTTCTCCATATTTCGTCACGAAATTTTGTTAGCAAACCTCAGATTCGAATTCAGCACACAAAAAAACAAAACAAATAGTAGAAATCAGAGCTACCCCAAAACTTTCCTCCAAGAGGTTTTTTGAGTACACTTTGACTAGACCATTAAAAGACAAAAAAATGAATGTGAGTGATTGTGATTTTGATGATTTTATAATAGCTATAGGGATTAGTTACCAATGCGATTACCTTGCTTTCTAGAAGGCCCAATTGTGGTTATTATTAGAAATAAAATATATAGTGAGAACCAAAAAGTCCTAAACACATGAAAAAAACATGAAATTTTCTAGAATACTTCCCATAAGTTCCCATAGGATCTATTTGGATGACTTATTTCTATAGAAATAAAAACTTATAAAAAATACTTTTTTTTCTTTATATTATAAAAATAGCAGGGCATTGATTCTAAATCTTTTCTATTGTCAAAAATATTTATTAAATATTTATATGTTTAGGCAATATCGAATTGTTTTCTTCAATAGACATCATTATTATTTTTTTAAATTGAGTCGTGAGTCATCAATGAGACACAGTATACCGGGTGCGTCTCAAAAGTGGCTCACCCTTATAACTTTTTATTTTATCAGATAAAACAACGAGATTTGGTATGTTAGTATATGACATAAATTAGGATTGATTGACATATTCAATTATTTTCGGTCACTTCCGGTTTCACCGGAAATGACTAGAAACTTTTTATTTTTAAATGGCACCCTCCGTATTTTTTTACTTTATTTGATAGAAAATGACACTCTGAATAGAATGGCATATCATATATCAACTTTTTACATTTTCGCATATGGTTTATTTGAAATTGTAACATGCGGTTCATAACGACAATTTGACTCGAAATACCGTGTGGTATCAAATTATTCGTAAAAAATGCTTTTTCCAAATATGCTAATGAGCCACCCTCGTTCCATTTGAAAAAATTGAGATATTATTAAAAATACGATTTGGGTATCTTTTAACTGGCTAGGACAAGGCACTAAAAACTTTAGACGATCAACTATTTTTCCAAGGCTACTTGATTAAAAATTAGTGTTTTTAACACAGTTATAGCACTCTAGATAGAAATTTAAAATACAATTTGTTTGTATATGTCAAAAGTCAATAAATATGTCAAAAGTTGACATATGATCTCACTCGATTCAGGGTGTCATTTTCTATAGAATAAAGTAAAAAAAAAAACGAGGGTGCCATGACAGATAGCATATAATCGTGCTATTTAAAAATCAAAAGTTGTAGTCATTTCCGGTGAAACAGGAAGTAACTCAAAACAATTGACTGCGTCAATCAATCCTAATTTATGTCATATACTAACACAGCAAATCTCATTTTTTTTATCTGAAAAAATACAAATAGGGGTGAGCCACTTTTGAGACGCACCCGGTAGATCAGTCAAATAACCAAACCAAACCAAACTCAATTTTCAAAAATGTGTGACTTGTCGGGTTTTGCATTTAGACGCCTGAAATATAAGACACTTTGACATCCGCTCTTTCAATAGAAGGCGTTTATTATTGAAAGTGTCATACCTATCTATAACAAAGTAGAACAACCTTTTAATTAACTCAATAATCAATTTTCCAAGTGACGAATTAATAAATATGATTTACTGTAGTGAATTGTAAAATCGCTTATTTCTGGGGCTTACTCTACCGGGTCTCACAATGCAAATTCACCTCAAATATCCATTTAGTTGGTCATTGGCAAGCACTCTCTCATTGTACATGAAAATAGCAAAACAAACATTTACTGATCTGGATAAAATTGATAGTTAAATAGTAAAACTCACCCGGGGGTACTCCGCCCCCTAGCCACTATCATCACTGACATTCTTATTCAATATATCACATTTCATATCCTCCATCTAATTCAAATATTATTCGGATCTATTGGTTAATAATCTTCAACAACTAGCTAGTGTCACCTGAAATAGTATAGGGGCTTCCCCCGGACGCAATTCTGCCGCTAAACAGATTCGCATCCCAATCGAATAAGCTAATTGGGGTAGCTCACAACACCAACGCCGCATCATGTCAATCGAGAAGACAAGGGAGACCTCAAACTCTCAAGACCAACCTCGAAGGCAAGACGTCACAAGACGTTTTCTTCTCATGGTCAAACGACCCGTTGCCTTACAGTACATGCAACGTTTATAGTCAAAAGACTCTCAACCCCCAAATATCAGCTCTATGACAAAACACAACACAACAGCCGGCCGGCCTATCAACAACTGATTGACCTGCTGCGCGTCGGCAAGCTAAGCCTCCTCTTACATCACAATTTTACCGGATCGCAAATATTTACATTACTTGCCAATGAATCATACTATTTTCTCTAATCGACTTTAAAATAGAGTGTTTTAGCATGACTAGAAAAATAAATTTGAGTTTGAAATAAAAAAAGAGAGTTTGCGAATTATAAAACCATTATTATAACCAACTTATTTTCCAAGTTTTACAAAATAATATAATAGATATAAATAATAGATAGTAAAGATCCAGCTGACCGTATACGTCCTTATGACGTAATTTTTCACCAACTTACTTTTTTACACCTTTACGTGAAATGTGACGCCATACAATGCAGACTAGACAGGTCATTTGTAGACGATACTGTTACGTCTCAATGAGGGTATGGAAAGCGACGTGAAGATTACGAGTTTACTCAACAAATAAGGCAGTCCAAATGTAAGTGCTAAAACTGAATCAAGCGACCAAAAGATTTGTAGTTTCAATCCACAAGAAAAGTGGATCATAGAGGCCAAAAAGATTTAGAATCAACCGCCACAGTTTACTTATTATTAAAATCTTAATTTTTAAAGTATTGTAATGATATTTGATAAAATTTCATTTTTTTTCATAATTCCATAATATACCGGGTGTTGCATCGTCGGACGGGACATAGGAAATCCTATGTAAATTTTAATGGGGTCAATTATTGGCTTCCCTAATTATTTTAGAGAATAATTCTATTTAGGTTTATTGAAGAGCACTAAAACCCACATTCAAAAGAATAACTTTAGATATTTTTGATTAGCTCGTTTACGAGTTATCGCCGATTTCTTTTTAAATATTTCTCCTTTCTTATGGCCCTGTATGTACTTATGAGCACCAGTCAAGATAAAAGATAAGTGTCAAATGAAGTTGTCATTTCAGAAATTTACCTATTTAGTGCTTTATTATTATTGAAAACTCATTCCTACATCGGAAATCTTAAAGATGTATTTATAAACACAAATTAATATGAATTAAAGTAAAATAAAGTAATCAATTACAAGGTTAGTTATAGTATTATTACAATATTCAATAACTTATTAATTTAGGTACTATTAAATTGTTAGAACTTTAGGATTTAAGATGTTCAAATATTTCTCCATCGACTGCTAGACAATAACCCAGGCGATCATAAAATTCTCTTCTTACATTCGCTAGTTGGTAAACTGAAATTCTATTGCATTCGGCAGAAATAGCATTTTTTAGCTCGTCTAGATTTGGGTATTTTTTATCCTTGTATAATCCTGTTTTTTTTTAAATGGCCCCAGAGAAAGAAATCATTTGGCGAAATATCAGGAGACCTTGCTGGCCAATTTACTGTATGATTTAGGCCAATAACGTTTCCATTAAAACTATTGTCTAAATATTCTCGAACAGCCAGGGTACTATGTGCCGGGCAGCCATCCATTTGGTACCAAACTTCCTGATTTTCCCTAGCGGCGTCATGTAAAGCAGGTAAAATATGATTTTCGAGTAGTTCCAAATAATATTCTGCATTTAAATTTCACGTAAAAAATAATGACCCCATAATATTGTGTCCGAATATCCCTGCCCAACCATTTACTTTCTGTGGATATTGCGTCCTTGTTTCAACAAACCTGTGTTGGTTTTCTTTGTTCCAATATCGGTAATTTTGAACATTGGGTTCATTATTTAAGTTAAACGTGCATTCGTCAGTGAAACATGTTTTTTTAAAAATTCCCTATCCGTGTTTGCTCTTTCCATCATATCAAAACAAAACGCCTGCCGCCGTATTTCGTCCCCATCTCGTAGCTCTTGGTGCTTTTCATATTTGAAGGAATAGTATTTATGTCGTTTCAAAATTCGAAACGCTGTAGTGTGATCTATTCCTATTTCATCCTCAAGTTTTCTTGTACTGATCTTTCCATCGTTCTCTTCCACGCACAATAAAACTTCCAAGTCGGTATCATTTCTTGCATCTTCTCTTTGTTCCTGCCTTGCTTCACATCTGCAGTTATTTATTAGGGTACCTTTGGTCTCAAATCTCTGGATATTCCTTGCGATTGTAGATTTTCCAGGTATCGGTCTATTTGGATACAGAGCAGCAAACATGTCCGACACCTTTTGATAACTATTTCCTTGATAATACCATTTAATCATCAATACTTTTTCTTCGGTAGTGTAATTCATGGCTAATATTTTCGATGTATGTAGGTATGAATTTTTAATAATAATAATAAAGCACTAAATAGATAAATTTCTGAAATGACAACTTCATTTGACAGTTATCTTTTACTTTGACTGGTGCTCATAAGTAAATACAGGGCCATAAGAAAGGAGAAATATTTAAAAAGAAATCGGCGATAACTCGTAAACGGGCTAATCAAAAATATCTAAAGTTGTTCTTTTGAATGTGGGTTTTAGTGCTCTTCAATAAACCTAAACAGAATTATTCTCTAAAATAATTAGGGAAGTCAATAATTGACCCCATTAAAATTTACATGGGATTTCCTATGTCCCGCTCGACGATGCAACACCCGGTATGAATCCCCATTTGTTGTAAATTTTATAGTGTTTGCTGTCTATATTCTAAAATCTATGTACTTAAACATTTTTAAACTTTAGGAACCTAAATCTAAACTAGTAAGAGATACTGCCACCCATACACAACTATTTACTATATGTTATATGTAAAAGTAAAACCTAGTGATATTAAATAATGTACCTTATACAAATAGTAGAAGTTTATGATTGTATTGCTAAATACAAAAAGTCAATTTACTGTAAGTTTTTTTATCACCTTTTGTACATAAAATATTTATTTTAACTAACTTTTATGTTTTCTTTGTAATGTTTACCTAACATAATTTTTACTGAAAATTTGATGGCGTCAAATATATAAAATATCAAGATGCTTACTGCTGGTTTGTAACATGATTTTTTTTTGTTACCTTAGTATTTTATATATTTGACACTAATCTTAGAATTTGTATAATACACTGTAGATACACATGTATAATTAAATAGGATTTTTGTAAGATAAGTTAAGTACCTATCTAGTAATATATTATCATATTTGATGGACAGTATAAATATAATTTAAAATTTGCTTAAATAGCAAATGTCTGTGTAGTAAACAATTTTGAAATAACTGTAAATATCAACAATATAAAATATGATCTTCCAAGGAAGTAGGCTCATACAACATAGTTTTTTGCAGTTTTCTTTACACCTCTATTTTCTGTATTTGTATCCATAACAACGTTACATCAATATTTTAATAAACAGGTGTACTAAAATATGTCTGGTCTTTAAAATACCTATTTATCATGTTTTATAACTGACATATTTGTTTTTCTGTAAGACAAAAAGTATAAAGAATGTCAAAACCAACAACTATTAAAGATGCAATAAAAAGATGGGAGGACAAACATCCTGGTAATTTTTGATTTCCATAAAAAAATATAATAAATATAATATAACTAATAATAATACTTCAAGGAGAGTCAATAAGTGACGCCACAGAGGTAGGTTTCCAATTTCAATGGCCACCAATAGAAAAAATGGACAACTCTTTATCAGCATTAACCAAATGTAGAAAACTGAGCCTTTCGACTAATATGATTGAAAAAATTGCCGGCATAAGTGCACTGAAAAATTTAAAAATATTATCTTTAGGAAGAAACTACATCAAATCGTTTTCTGGTTTAGAAGGTGTGGCAGATACTTTGGAGGAATTATGGTTATCGTATAATTTAATAGAAAAAGTTAAAGGTGTTCAAGTTCTAAAAAAATTAAAGGTATAAAGATATCAATAAAAGCTGGCGGGCAGGTCATCAAAGACGTCGAAACTACCGTATGATCGAAGAAAAACGGTGTCCAGTTGGCTTGAAAATAACGATAAAAAAATACATAAAGATTATTCATAACCTTAGATCTTGTAAACTTCGTGGATAAGTAAATTCGCTTAATTTTTGTTGAAGACACATCAGCGACATTCGACGACCTGATTATCTTTGTCTTTCACACTGATTGACCAAGCGTCTGTCTTTGTTTTGTGTATATGTCATTTTTATGCCATAAAATAGAAAATGTAAATATATAAATTTGAGAAAATAATATTGTTATTCGGGGATATTAATTATTTATTGGATAATATTTACTAGCATATTAACTATTTAACGAAAAAAAAATTAAAGGTAAATTGCCTAATAGTATTTAAAGTGATTAAGTTACCTAACATAAATATTTATTTCGCTGAATAAAAGTCAGTTGAAGAAACGATTTTAAATAATATATATCTTGTTTTTTAAAAATATGGAACATACTTCAGAGGTTTTCATACTTTTATAGTATTGTGAAGTTCTTTTAAGGATAAGATTTTTCCAATTGCGGACAGCTTCACATATAACACTTTTATCAGTCACAATGTCTATTTATCCACTAACTTTATCGCACTACAAAAACAAACTTTCAAAAAGAACACAAATCTAAAATATATCGTCGGAATTCCAAATTAACTCTTTATTATCACGCATAGATAAATGAAACAAGTTTAGATTGGAAAGTGCCCATAAGGACAATGTAAACACTATTTGGCGCTATTCTTGCAACGGTCGCGACCCAAAACTTTTGAAAATTTCGGAGCGGTTCGGCTTTTTCCGGAATTATATCGCCAAATATTGTTTATTCAAATTTATTATTATTTTCGTTTAATTTTATAAATAAAAGACAGTGTGTTGCATACAAGAAACTTTATTTTATATAAGGACGCATGTATGAAATACCTATGAAACATTGGAAACCGACGTTATGCCACGATCCACGATGGTTTTTGCAGTTCACAGTTCACAACACAGCTTTTTCAGTTTTTAATGCCACTTTTTCACAATTATCACCGGTTGGAGTAAATAAAACTTGAATTAAACTCACAAGATAGCAATAATTACTTTGAAAATGGACGCTATAAACACTTTTCGGAATTTCTTTAATGAGAGCGGTTTAGATTTTGAAAGATTTTATGATTTTTGAAGATTCTGACTTTGACAAGGGAAAATTATTTCTGTTTTTGTTTGCCGTTGTTCTTAGCGACCGCTATAGCAGCGCCAGATCGCATATAACGGTCGCGACCTAAAATTTTTACGGGCTTTCCAATCTAAACTTGTTGCATTTATCTATGGTTTTGACTTTTCAATGTCAAAACATATTTTAATGTTTCCCTGGTTACTGATTTCTATGTGTTGCCCATTCATCATAGCTTTTTTTTCAAAGTAGTATTTTAAAACATTTTTAAAAAAGAATTTATAGTTATATGATTTAATTTTTGTTTAAAATATAATATAAAAAGTTGTAAAAAGTATATTGGAAATAATATGACAAATATTTTCAAAATAATTAATACACGTATCAGTTATATCTTGATTGAAAAATTTTAGTGGTCTATATTTTTAGTAATTGTTGTCAACGCAGCGAAAAAAACGCTCCAAGTTAGCATTTACGTCTAATACCGTTCTGCGCACGCTCAGTAACGTACGCAGAGAGAAGGATAGATTTATACGATAATCTTGTTCTAGAAAGAAATAAATAGAGTAAACGCCACGAATGTTTGGGAGTGATTCATCGCTTGATGAAGTTAGAATCGACACGCGCGCTATCATTTTTACATTAAAAACGTAAATTTTTACCGCAGACGTAGGTTTTTAAAGGCCCGGTCTGATCATCTGCCTGCGCTTCTCCTACTTATTCTAAAATGTTATACTATATCGCGTTTCTTTGATTGATTCGTTTTTGTGCGTCAGTCCATTGGTGTGCTTACAGTACGACTAATGGGGCATTCCATTTTATATTTATAACCAAATATATGTTTTGACAAGACTTTGACAGTTAAAACAACAAATTGCAACAGATTATATATTGATTATTATATGACTTGAAACACCACGGCACTGGAAATAAGTTTTATGTGACCTTGAACAGATTAGTTCACATGGCAGCGACCGATGAATCATTCCAAACATTCGTGGCGTTTACTATAGAAAAATTCATGTGAAAGTCCCCTAAACAAAGTAGAGTGTAATATACATATGACATAGCTTGCTGAATTTCAGAGTCGATATTGGCCTTTTCCGAAATCAAACTGCCGAGGTAATTAAATTCCGCTACATATTCCAATAGTTCTTCTCCGATTTTTATAGCATTGTTATGATCTTCTGGGGGAATGCACATGATTTTGGTTTTGTCGATGTTTAGATTCAGGCCCAAAGCCTCGTATGCCCAAGTATATGTGTTCAACATTTCTTGTAATTGTTGTAACGTGTTTGTAACTAGAGCGCAGTCATCAGCGTATTGAAGTTCTGTGATGAATTTTGTACGTGTTTTTGCACTGAGTCTTTTTATGATGAACAGACCGCCGTCATATCTGTATCTAATGCCCAGTCCTCTCTCCTGCAGTTTGCTGTCCACTATAATGGAGAACGCTGCCATGAATATGTTGAATAGGAGAGGCGCTAAGACACATCCCTGCCTAACTCCTGTATTTGTCAGGAAGGGATCGCTCAGTGATGTGGCACTCTTGACTGGTTGTTATTATGGAGGCTTTTACACACTGTAAGAAATTTGTTAGGTACACCGAACTTTTTCATAATTGCCCAAAGTGCATCTCTGTTCACAGAGTCGAAGGCTTTTGTTAGATCGATGAATTTTTTTTAGATCGAAGCATTTTTTATATTAACACTCTGGCACGGCATTGTTTGGACACAAATGGTAACCACGGGGTTGCGGGTGTTATTGGCCCTTGTATACTTTAGTCATTTGTGCACTTTCTCCTTTCTCGTTTAATATACAGGTATAATTTTATATCCTGGTTAAAAAAAGACAGCACGCTGTCACATCAAGTAAACGAACTGGCCAATAAAAAAGGCTACACTCAATATCAGTTTCCAGACTGCGAGTAGAATCTCAAAAAAAGTTAAGACTTTTAAATAGTTAACAAATTCGAACCTTACATTTTTCAGATTCATTCAGAAAATTTCCTAATAACTTCAAGTAATTAGAATTAGTGTGTTTAATCTCAGAAAAAGTAATAATGTAAATATAAAATAAAATATACAGGGTTGTTCACCACATACGACACGGAGTATTATAGCTAAACAATTAGATTTTTACGAATCGTAAATTTTGGGTTCGTTGAAGGACTATTAGAACTACAATTTAAAAATATTTTTACAAGATACAGAGTGTCCCAAATAAAAAAAATATCAAAGTTGGATTTTTTAAATGGAAAACTCTGTATATTATTACATTTTTTGTTTCTACTGCTGAAATAAAGGTAAATTTGATTAAGATTTATCATATTTAAACCTTATCGTTTTTGAAATATTTTCAATTTTGTGAAATTGCAGTAAAAATTTTAAGGCTTCATTTCTCTCAGGGTATCAAAGTTTTTAATACTAAATATTTACTGAAGTTTATTTATTGATCAGTTATTGTGTTGCAATAATAAAAATTATACTACCTTATACAGAGTGTCTAACAAATAATTTTAAATAATTTCTAGCTTTAAACGGCAATAACTTGTTTAATTTAAATGGAACACCCTGTATATTTTAGGAGAATCAGATGCACAATTTAATTGTCTATCAAATTGTGTTATACCATTTTTACCTATCTCTTCAAATTTTCGTAAAAAATGCATTTCCTTACAATTTAGCACTAGTATACCGGGTGTGTCTCAAAAGTGGCTAGGGGTGAGCCACTGAATTTTTTTATTTTTTTAGATAAAAAAAAGAGATTTGGGATGTTAGTCTATGACATAAATTAGGATTGATTGGTGTGACATTTTCTATCGAACAAAGTAAAAAAATACCGGGGGTGCCATTTAAAAATCAAAAGTTGTAGTCATTTCCGGTGAAACCGGAAGTGACCGAAAACAATTGAATACGTCATTCAATCCTAATTTATGTCATATACTAGCATACCAAATTTCGTTTTTTTAACTAAAAGAATAAAAAATTTAGAGGGGTGAGCCACTTTTGAGACGCATCCGGTATACCTATAATATACCCATGGAATATTGATATTTTAGGTTATTTTTAAAGCAACGATAATATTACTAGCCCATTTGTATACAAAAAGAAAATATTTATAAAAGAGTATACCATTAATTAAATATACCACCATTATTTCCGCCCAAATATTAATTAATTACATACTTTTAATTGTGTTAGTTAATAAATTATTCTAAATAAATTTGGATTTCAATCAGAAATCAATATAATAATAAGTTATGAAAATGAACACGTCTCTGTTAATAAGCATTCGTCAAAAAATGAAAATAATTTTTTTAAGGTGTTACTTTTTACCACACTGTCTAATACACATACAAAATTCAGTTTTTTAGTATTTGGAGCAATTATTATTAATCAACGCAAACCATATCGACAATATTAATATCTGTGCTCTTTAAAAATTAGTTACATCTTTAAAAATAATCTAAAATGTCAATATTCCATGGGTATATTGATAAATGAGGTCTAAATTATAAGAAAATGCATTTTCTACGAAAACTTGAAGAGATAGGTAAAAAATCTATATAATACAATTTGATTAAATAGACAATTAAATTGTGCATCTGATTTTCCTAAAATATATTGTTTGTTCCATTTAAATTAAACTAGTTATTGCCGTTTAAAGCTAGTAATTATTTAAAATATTTTTAGACACTCTGTATAAGGTAATATAATTTTTATTTTTGCAACACAAAATTTAGTAAATAGAAATACTTCAGTATAATATTTGGTTTCAAAAACTTATACGCCTATTACTAATACTTTAAAAAAATACGCCTAGAGAAATTAAGCATTAAAATTATTATTTTGACAAAAAAAAATTAAATTAATTATTTTGACAAAAATTTAAATATTTCAAAAACGTTACAGTTGAGGTTTGGAACCTTTGGTGTTACACAGCAAAATAAAACACTAAATCACCACAACACACCAAAACACTTTTACTTTTACACTGGACGCGCATTTCGCTAACCATGTTAGCATCATCAGCAGATCATTATAAACTGAGTTTAAATTCATCTGCTGATGATGCTAACATGGTTAGCGAAACTCGCGTCCGGTGTAAAAGTAAAAGTTTTTGGTGTATTGTGGTGATTTAGTGTTTTATTTCAAAAAGGGTAAGATTAAAATGCGGTAAACCTTAATCAAATTTACCTTTATTTTAATTGTAGAAACTAAAAATGTAATAATATATAGGGTATTCCGTTTAAAAAAATAAAACTTTTTTTTATTTATTTGGAACACTCTGTATCTTGTGAAAATATTTTTAATTTGTAGTTCTACTAGTATTTCAACGAACCCAAAAGTTAGAATTTGCAAAAATCTAATCGTTTAGCTACGATACTCCGTGTCGAATGTGGTGAACAACCGTGTATAGATCATAAATAAAATTTTATTCATATGATTAAGCTTGATCGACACAGCGTTGCTAACTTTTACATATATTTTCTTTTAATCAAAATATTTTAGGAAACAAAAATAAAATAATTATAAATATATAAACAGTTATTATTTACATCAACAGCACTTAAGGGACATAAAGGGCCATTACTGCCGCTTTCCCGTTCAAAATTTTCTAATAAGGTTTGTGATGAGTTTTTTTTTCAACTGCTGTTAAGCTACGTCGGCATCTTATATATTTCGCACAATAAGCGATTCTAAAAAGGGCAATTTCCGACTGGAAGGTCTGCTAATAAAAAAGTTTAAGCTTAAAGTATCACAACACAATTCACTCACATCAAAAACTCGTAATACAAAACCTAAAGTGTCAAAACGAATGAATGTGTCAGGAAACAAATAAATAAATGTGGCAACTTGACATTTTTTACAGCAGAGCTACCACCTGAATCACCAGCGGGAAATATAAAATCCAGTTAGTCGGTCAGTTCCAGAATATGTTCATGGTTGGCAACAATGAATTTAATAATCGCACCCTCGACAACGCAACTAAAAGTTTATTTGGTATCGCTTATATGTACCTTATATCACAGATTAGGTATCCTATAAGTATACAGATAAAAATCTTGTCCCTAATTCGTGGTACGAAAATTGTTTTTTTATGACGATGTGCAAACGAGTCAAATTTCCTGTGCGCAAAAATAAACTCGCGTAAAATAACAATAAACAGCGTAATAGAGAGATATCGCTAAACCGAATAGCGTGCATGGACGTTAATAAGGCCAGGTGTTATTTCCTTTACGTGAGGTGGTGTTAACTCTCTTAATTTATAGTTATCGGATCGGAAAGAATTATGATCGCACCGCGTCCGCTATTTAAACTTAACCTAACTTTGAATTTAAAACTTTGAAATTGTTTTGTTTACTAGGTATTTTAAAACTAAAGGGCTAAAGTGCTTATTTCCAGTGCTTTATTGTTCAACGTCTGCCAATGGGTTTAGGACAACAAGCAACAAATTCTCTTTGAAGGGCTAAGTCGTCATCTGCTGTAAACCTAAGACTCTTTATAGGTTCTTTAGTATTGGAAGAGGTGGAATCCATATTTTGGGCCATATTTATTTAATTAAAACTAATCCCAGCTACTTAAATATCAAATTACCTAATAAAACTAAAGCAATAATTCAAAACAATTCAAACATAACCTAAAATAAAAGATCTCGCCGGCCGGCACCGTTTGTCAAATACCCGCACATGCCCATTTAAGCAATTTTTAAACGTTATCAGAGGTTATTTAGAAAGAGCGCTTGGTGTAATTGATCCGCAAATTACGTCAGGCGGTAACGTTATTAGCGGGTGTTGCGTTGACTCGCGCATATCGTAACCATGAGAAGGTACGCGTAAATACTGGATGACGCTATTCGGTTTTCCGATATCTCTCTAATAACTGTGCCGGTCAGGCGCTGTGCACAATTTTAGAGGCCATAAGTGGGCATGCTATGTGCGCAAACTAGTCACCTAACTAGTGCTAGGGTCCCAACTTGAGCACCGGCGATTCCGGGACAATTATTTTTAAGCTTTTAAATAATTGAAACAAAACATTAAATATTAGAAATTAAAATATATTATGTGTGTAGTACACACTTTTTTTAATTTTTAAACATAAATCCCGGCCAAACCGGGACGGTTGGGAACCCTAACTAGTGCCCGATTCCGAAAATTGGAACCACGAACAACAATAAAGAAAAAACAAAGATTATAATCTGTATAATCTGTGCTTATATTGTGTCTAAATTTCAAATAAAAAATCGGTGACAAATTTTCGAATTTTGACACTTGCCAAAAATCGAAGTAAAAAGTAGCCGAGGCAACATTGCAACGTGCATTCGTCAAGTAATTTGATGACGTGCTTACTGGAAACGAACTTAACTGAAAAATACAATAAAATTCTTCATCTAATCAATCCTCTTTTAAGGTTTTATATCTTGGTAATAATTTGGTAAAAGAATGGGGCGAATTTGTAAAGTTTAATGATTTACCATGTTTAGAAGATTTATTGTTTGTTGGAAATCCACTCTATGACAGCATGGAAGAAGCTGTATGGAAAGTAGAAGCTATTAAAAGATTACCTAATTTAAAAAAGTTAGATGGTGAACCCGTAGTACGCGAAGAAGAATAATAATTATGATAATACAGATATATTTGTTTATTTGATTTTAGCAATTCTAAATAAAAGCTTATATAAATAAATACAAAAATGCGTAAATATTCAATTCAATAATCAATACATCGCTAGCCTTACAGATTAACTTAACCTGTCTATACAGGGTGGTCCGAATTGTAATCGGAATATCTCAACAATACATTCTGCAGATAAGAAAAGTTCGTATACCTACATTTATATGCTAAAATGCTTCGTTTCAGAGATATAGGGTGTAGAACCACAAATTACCTATAACAGATGCGAAAGAAAGCGACTGCATCGGAAACCGCTCGGCAAACCCGACACGCCTATTGAGTGGTGTAAATACACCAGTCGTTTAGTCCGGAAACCTATGCTGTGTCGTATTCGCTTGCTGGAATGACATAGTGCGTGGTTATATGTTTCTTTTTAAAAACGCGTGTAGGATTTTTGTTGAACTTTTGAACTGTTATTTCTAAGTTTTGGTAATTTGTATATCTTATTTAAAATGGGATGCAAATGTGTTTATTTATAAGGAAAAAAAAGATATTTATAGTATAAAAAATTAATTTATTTAACAAAATTTAATTAAAAATGTGACAAAATAGGGTGTAAAATTTTTTTTTATAGTTTTCATTATATCAAACAGCCTCTGGGAAATGTTTTCAACTCAAAATGCCTTTAATTATGTTTGACTACATCATTAAAAAGGGTCTTCAAATACATCAATGTGATATTTGTCTAAAATTTGCAAAAGAATCCGAATCTCTGGATAACTCGAAATTATTTACCCATTTAAAAGCCTTTGATCATGAAAGTGGAAAAATTTGTTCATTTTATTTACAGGCTGGAAAAATTATTTATATTAAATTTTGATGAGTTTTGCACTGAAGAAAACATTCAGAGGCTGTTTGATATAATGAAAACTATAGAATTTGACCACCCGTGTGAGAAATTTCGTCTTATTTACATCATTAAATTATTTATTAGATTGAAAATATTTTATGCATTAAAGTTTACAAAAAATAAAGATTTATATAGTCGAAAAAAGTCCGATAGAACCAATAGAAATGTAACTATTTTGTCACATCTTTAATTAAATTTTGTTAAATAAATTAATTTTTTATACTATAAATATCTTTTTTTTTCCTAATCTCCTAAGAGCTGATATAATATTTTTTTTTTGATTAAAAAACAAAAGTTGTTAATATAATACCAATTTAACAGTGTTTTAGTAGTTTTAATACACACTATGATATAAAATTTATTATCATTATAATGTACATTATTAATACTATTGTTCATTCGAAATGGCATTAAGGCCCAATTGCAACAATGATTTAAATTTTTCTTAAAGATAAGTAGAGCTTAGAATGAGCTGTATTTATATTTACTTTAATATTCACTTTAAATGAGGGAATTTGACTGATACAATTTTTGAATTTGAATTGTTTTTAATGATACTAACAATTTTAGTTCAATTTTTAATAAAATTTATTTAATATTAATAGAAATCCAAGAGATTTGAAACCTCTTTTAGCGATTTATAACATTCTCAAATGAATTACAGGTGCCCTTATTTTCTATGAAAATCACACAGCTTTTTAAATAGTCGCTGCAGTTGCTATAGCTATAAAAACTAATTTTTTAAGGTGTGAAAATTGCGACACACGCTAAATGGACTTGATTTTTCGTATGTCTCGAAGTCTGTGGACCTTTTTGTATGCCTCGATAACATATTGGTGCAGATTATTTTCACCCAAACAAATAATAACCCAAACTATACATTGATGCGGATTGTCTATGAACTCTTTCTGAAGGTCACAGAAACCTGAAGCGTAATTCGGTGTTCTTTCGCATCTGTTATAGGTAATTTGTGGTAGAATGTGATAGATAATATACTGCTTTTTCAACAAAGTGTCACAATATGACATGGCCAGATCTATTGTTTTACATCACTTGACGTTTAAAGTCATAGGCTACTGGTTAAAATCAATGAAAATATACGCTTTCAAACTAAATCTTAAATAACTTAAAAAAAAATTATTTTAGGTATAGGAACATGTATAGTCAAAAAGTAACGAATTGAAAAACATTTTCACTAGTGAAATAAAAAAAAGTGGGTTTCCATTTGAAAAAAATTATTCATGATAATTTTTTAGTCGCTCAATTCCATGACAACTGCCGGTTATTATTATATGACATTCCAACAATTTAATTTTTGAAATAGATAGCCACATGTCTTTTCTTTTTGGCACAGTGGCTGTTGTAATCACTAAATTTGACATTTAGACTATACACATATTTTTGACAGGCAGTTCTTTTCATCCAAAAATTTTAAATATTTTTTTTTCTCTCAAAAACGGTTAATGTAGAGTGTTTAATATCAAAATTTATAGAATCTTACAAAGAATTTAAGTATGTTATAAAAAATGGGGGCACCCATTTTAAATAAGAAAGTTGCTGTCAACTTCCAGTATTTCCGGAAGTGCCGCCATATTGAAAATATTTTTTATCAATAGATCTCTTTGTAAAACAGTGATGTGCAAAAGATCCCCGATCAAGATATTGTGGTTCTATAGAAACTTCTAATGCATGCTCTAGCCTGGGACACACTGTATATTTCCTCCCTTTTTTTAGGTAGAAATGTTTTTTGTAAAAATCGGTTCAGGCAACATTTCTCAAAATTCTTTGAAATTTAAATAATCAATACATGTCATCATTGACAAATAATAAACATGGATAGTTATGTAACTGAAATAATAAATTTGGTAATATTTTATGTTTTTACATAAATCATAAATTTATAGAGAAAAATTAAGGATAAAATTTGTTGAACCTTTGGCATAAAAACAATTCCAAATTTATTGTTTCAGTCTAATAACCTTATAGACAATATGATTTCTAGTGATTATTTCAATTCCTAATATCTTGAAAAGGGTTACTCATAACCATTTTTGCCATATTTGAGTAAAAAATTGCGCAAATGTATATTTTCTCTGCCAGTAGTGTTACACACTACTTGTCTAACAGTAGCGCAATCTTCTACTAGGTACAAAAGAAAAGTTATTATATTTTAAAACAGTTAAAAAAATGGTTAGGTGGCGACCCCTACATGTAGGAGTCATATTAACATTGAAATTAAATTTCTCGTACAAAAAAACCCAGACACCAACTTTAATCCAAATATTGACTTTAGTTCAGAAATTATTTGGAAATAAAAACAAAATAGAAATACAATTTCTATATCCTGTATCTCCAAAACAAAACGTTTTAGGACATAAATTTATACAAACCTTTTTACTTACTTTTATCTGCAGAATATGCTGTTGAAGTGTCCCGATTATAACTCGGAGCACCCTGTATAATTAACAACTAACCAATTTAAGTGCTTCCATCAGGAACACTTTTACTTAACTTATATGTAAGATGCTTTATCCATTCTTCTTCTGGCACATTTTTTGCCCATTCTGGATAGGAGCTGTTTGGTAATTGTATATTCAGCATGAGATCCTTTACAAGTTCAATCACCTTTTGTGACATGTCAATATCTACCTCCTTTGGAGCTGGTTGAGTCGACACCTTTAAAAATGTTAATATTTATGAATGACTTTATTATAGCACAGTCAATTTATTCAAAAAAAAAAGTCTAGTATGTTTTCAGGTAGTTTTGATACCTTCAATTCTATGTTTGCTTACTTTGGTATGGCTGACAATAATTGAAGACCATAAGTGAGAAACAGGCTAAGGGCCAAAAAAAAACAAAATTGCGTTTTTATCTTAAAAATATACAAACTGGATACAGATAATATATTTGTTAGGCCAAGTGCTAGTATGAATAGTACACCGGTCATTACAGATAATATATCAAAGTGGTAAACCAAAATAGACCATTACAAAAAATTAACAAATAAAATTAGCACCTGTCCTATGTACAATATATCACCGGAAATGTCACATTTTGCAGCATGCTTCTTACTTATGGTCTTCGATAATTGTCAAAATTTCTTGATGGAACTACCCAACGACATCTAAATAAAGGATATCTTATTTAGATCCCTAGATGTTAATGGAACTATCTCAAATACCAAAATTTCTGCCACAAACACAATTTGACTGGAATATAATTAAAAATCAACACTTACCTCTTCAACTATACTAGCTTCGCCCTCCTCGATAAAAGGCATATCTGGAATGTCACAAATTGCCGTGGTAATAGTGGAAGCGGCGACTCCCTGATCAATTTCTTCTTCATTATCTGACTCTAGAATTGCTTTTATTACATTTAATTTAGTGAATGTGTGGACCTGTACCTTGACTATCCGTATCGAGAATGCCGTAAACCATATCACCATCGGTGGGGTTTTGAGATAAAAGAGTATAATTTTCTAGGTTTTCGTAGTAACTCTCATCAGAATCTGAATCAAGAGCAGGAATTTGTTCCAATTCTCGATTAGGGGACACTTCATCGCTACCGGGACCGTTGTTGAGCAAACCTGTATTTAGTCTCCCCATATTGTTAATTACAACAATTTATATATTTTCAATTGTTAATTAAAATAACACTAAAATGGCAAATATAAACAAACCGTGAAACAAACTTAACAAATTTTGATTTAACAACACAGCCACAGAATAGGTCTGGTCTGGTACAGAGACAGTTGACGCAGCTGATGTAGAGTTGGGAACAATTACCGATGTTTTAATATCGATATCAAACTGGCACAGTCAATATCAGTGGCGCATCTGGAGGTTGAGTCTGGTAGGGGTAGTGGCAATATTTAAATAAAGTACTAAATTTAAACAATATTTTCTCTGACAGATATTGTGACTGTGGAAAGAAATATACCTTGATAGGTTTGGATTTTTTATTTGTGTATTATTAACTTCTTTTGTGACAATTTTATTTATAACACATTTTTTATCTTATTCATAAATTTCTTCTTGGGAAGGGTAATTACCCCCATTATCCCTAAACGGATAGTTCACGAGTCAATATTAGTCGAACGACTTTTTGCTTAAGTTAATTAGATTATATAATATTAGTTTTAGGAATGTTTTTACCTATATTAAGTTACGCCACTGTTAAAAAGTTTGCACTGCATCACAGATAACACATAATCCAGATGGCTCCTTACGTGTTAAAAATTGTCACCCTAATTTCACTCCAATTTGGAAAAATATTGGAGTGACGTTTGAATAATCTGAAATTTTTAGATTTCTTTTCTCACTTTTTTGGGAGGTTTTGCTTCTTTTGCACAGATGTCGCTTGCACTTCAGTTGCGTGGTTGCCAAACGTTATATCGAAATATATTTCATTTCATTATGAATATATAAAATTAAAGGTATACCAAATTAAAAATTATGTAATTTATAAACATGAAATTAATTTAACATATCTAGTTAAATTAATATATAAATATTTAACTTAATACGTTCATTATTATTTTATTAATTTATCGTCACACGTCATTTACCAGTTGCCTAATTACGAAAAGTTTCATATGACATTAACCTCAAAAATGATCTTTGAAAACAAACAACAACAAACAGAGCAACAAATGAACAAATAACTACATAATGACTGATAATGATAAGTGATAATAATAACTTTAATTATATGAAGGCTGATGAAGGTAATTATAAACATTATTTTGAGTTTGTTTAATAAAATATAGGATACAATATAACTAAGCAAAATCAAACAGTTTTAGACAACCAATACAAGATTTAGAACTTTGACAGCGTGATAAACAAATTGTACATTCAGGAACTCGTTTAAATATTATAGGTAAGTAATATTTTCACAAAACTAAACATTTTAGCATAAAATCACAGGTAATATATAGAATATTACCTATGATAAAATGTTAAATACTGATGTATATTTATTCTAATCACATTTAAATTTAAACTCAAAATTTTCATAAAAAGAAAATGATAATTTTTCGTAAATATAAAGTAAATTATATTACATATTTCAGGTTGATTGACGAATACTCTACAGTTGATTAGAGCCCATGATGATGCGAAGATAATTAATATCACCTAACTTCAAGAAACCAGCATAAAGAAGTTTACATTCATAACTCATCTAACCATTATAGGTAATAATTTACAAAATTAGCCATTTTTGATTATAATATTAAGGTACTTAGGTACATTTTTATCTTCTAGATCAGTAATGTCGTCATAATTTAAATGAACTCACAGATAGCAATGGGGCACTGCACCGAAGCAGTATTACAAAATATGTGAAATAAAACTGTAATACAAATTGCTCTATAAAATTTAATAGAAATAAATTTATTTATGAAAATTAAGTTATGAAGTTTTATTTTTCCTAGGAAAAAAATAACATTTATATTTTGATCAATTTAGAACATTACAGTTAAAAAAATATGTGTTAGAATAACATATTTTTAATAAAATTGCAGCTTTTAATTTTTATACTTTTTTGCTTTTATATCAATAAGAACTAACGTAAGGAACAATTCATATTTATACTATGAAAACACATGCATATTTTTTGATGTTTTTAAAACCAGTGAATGATGTTGAAATATACTACACCTATTATTCTTATTAACTAACTTTAATTACAAACTTACACATTATTGTCATTGGAAATAAATTAATTTGGATATTCTATTTGTTTAGAAACTTTTTTACCTATTGTAGTTTTTTTAAAACCTACTTGATTTAAAACAAAAAAATGTCACCTGTTGTGACAAAATAAGGTCTTTTTTACTAGAAAACAATCTAGTGAGCTTTTCTAATAATACTTTATTGATATACCATATGATCGAAAAAACGGCGTCAGCGATGGCTATGAAATGAAGATCGCTGTCATTTTAAATGTAAATTTATATGGGAAATGTCATCGATTGCCATTTCCCAGCCAACTGGACGCCGTTTTTTTTTGATCATACGGTATAATATGTATTCCCATCTGTTAATCTTTTTATTTTAAGGAAGATTTAGGAAGGGTAGCTTAAAACATGTTTGTCAATCAATTATCTTTATATGTCGTTTGTAAAAATATTTTACAGTAGTAGAAAATAAAACTGTTTTTAAGGCGAACAGCTTCTTTGCTAAAATATTTTTTTGGTCCCAATACATAATGATTTACATTTTTTTTTAACTTCAAATAATGAATTTAATGGAAAAATTGCAAGTCATAAAAACGTTCTAAATATACAAATCTATCCATTTTTTCCATATCGTTGCTCCAGTTTTTTGTCAAATTAACGAATATTAGAAATAGTTCATTTCAACCGGTCAGGTTTTAATTTGATTTAAAGTGCAATAGAGTAAATTCCAATTTAGGTAGTTTTTCTTGAAATTTAAAAATTGTTCTTCAAAATCTTAAGTAAGTCTAAAACCTTACATTTCAGTCATATACTTCCCTAATAAAACACACCTTTATTTTTCTCTTAGAATCTAAAAATTAATTAATAAAGGGGGTATTCCGTTACAAAAAAACACAAATTTGATGTGTAACTTTTTTGGGGACACCCTGTAGAACTCTCTATATTTTTAAAACGTGCGCAGAATTAACTTACATATGCTTACAAAATTTCATTTCAATACGAACTGGTCGTTCTCCTTGGAGCCTCCGAGTCGTATGAGAGGCGCCACCCTGTATAATTTTTATATAGTTGCACTTGAAATAAGGGATGAAAATTTGTACAAACATTTGTTAAAATCGGGTTTAGAAGTATGAAATTCTGTTTGTTCCTTATGTAACGTAATTTAGCAATAACAAGCAATTTTTTTTTCAGAACGTCCACACCTCATTTCACCCCGTTAGAGGGCGAATTTCCAAAAATTGTTCCTGAGTGCTAAATTACGTTACATAAGGAACGTCTGCGCAAAATTTCATACTTCCAAAACCGATTTTAATGAATTTTTGTACAAATTTTCATCCCTTAATTCTTATGGGGCGAATGCCTAAAATTCGCTTCTGAGTACTCACTTTCATCACTTGAGGAACCTCTGTGCAAATTTTCATACTTCTAGGACAGATTTTTTTCAGAAAGTTCACCCCTCATTTCACCCCCTTAGAGGGAAAATTTCGAAAAATTGCTTCTTAGTGCTAAATTACCTTATATAAGGAACGTCTGCGAACAATTTTATACTTCTAAAACCGATTTTAACAAATTTTTGTACATATTTTCATCCCTTATTTCTTAAGGGATGAATGCCCAAAATTCGCTTCTGAGTATAACTTTCATCACTTGATGAACCTCTGTGCAAATTTTCATACTTCTAGGACAGATTTTTTTCAGAACGTTCACCCTTCATTTCACCCCTTAGAGGGAAAATTTCCTGAAATTGCCTCTTAGTGCTAAATTAAGTTACATAAGGAACGTCTACGCAGAATTCATACTTCTAAAACCGATTTTAACAAATTTTTATACCAATTTTCATCCCTTATTTCTTAGGGGATGAATGTCCAAAATTTGCTTCTGAGTACTCACTTTCGTCACTTAATTAACAATTTCCAAATTTCAAACTCCTCGGACTAATTTTAAAAAAGTATGCAAAATTTCACCCCCAGTTTCACCCCTTAGTAGAAGAATTTCCTAAAATCGCTTTGTATAATCGAACTGTTAAGTTACGCTACTTAAGGCACCTCTGTGCAAAATTTCGTAGTCCTAGGACATGCTTTTTTTTGTATACAAAAGTACCCATCCATATCACCCCCTTAACGAGCGAATTTCCAAAAATTGCCCCTTAGTGTTCAATTACGTCAGTCAAGGAGCACTCGTGAAAAATTTCATACTCTTAAACCAGATTTTAACAAATTTTTATGCAGCTTTTCATCCCTAATTCGACCGCTAAGGGGGTGACTTAGCGGTCGAATTTTCAAAAAATCCCTTCTTAGTGCTCATTTACATCACTTAAGGAACCTATGTGCCAAATTTTATTTATAACTATAGAGATAACCTTTACCCTTATTTTCAGCTAATGAATATTAAGAGACAAATAATAAAAATAAAATCTAAATTATAAATTTCATGGCTATAAATAGCATACATATGCATCGAGAAATTCTGACTTTCAACATCCACTGCGACTAGTATTTTCATATCCAATTGTCTAGTATTAAAGTCCGAATATACATTTTCCCTGGGTTTGACCGGGAATTTGCTTATAAATGTGAACAACCGGCTACGTCGCTTCACATCGCGTGGCCGTGGTGTGGCTCCAAATTCGTTCGTTTTAAAAATATTATTAGATTTGGCTATAGGCGCCCTCTGTGTCATTAATCGGGAACTGTCTCATCGAAAACATGCTGTTCCGTAAGCAATGGCCATCTGGATTATGTGTTATCTGTGACTGCATCTAAAAGACGATCTCAAACAAGTTTTTTCTACTATAGAGGGCTTCTAAAAACATCCATTATCCTTAAAAGCAATTAACCGCCGGATCATACTCTTGTCATAAACGACCTTTTAATTATTATTTGTGGAAAGTCCCTATTGTAAAATAATATAGCTTTGTTCGTCATGTCCGTTTCTATACACAAACATTGTAACGTCTAGACTTTAGTTACCTGTTTCTTGAAGAATCGACACCTTAATGAACTTTACCCTAAGAATATTAAAAAGTAAATTGTACACCTCTGACTATTGGGAATTTTATTTTCGACAGTTTCTCTTTTATTTGCGACACGCTCTTGACTTTACAAGCTCTTTTTTTCTCTATAAGTTGGAAACAGTTTACAGTTGGCAATTTTTATATTCAATTTTACTTAATAAAATTTCAAAACTATTTTCTAATCGTGAAGTCGGCTGCCTGTTTAATGAATAGGCTGTGATTTGAATAAATACAACGTTGCACATCGATGTTTTCCATTGATATCCCATTACTAAGAGAGTGTCAAAAATTTTCATGACAAGAAAAATAAAGTATTCTTTTTCCTTTTTCTTTTATAGTGTGAATGGCAGTCCGATCTGTCTAGATGTCGCCAAACGAATTAGTGTTTTCAAAAAATATTGTTAATATTATTTATTTTAGATATGAAAATATTGTCAAAGGGACATAGCTCTTTTGAAGAAATTGTATTTCTTTTGCAAAGAAAAGCCTTTAAATTATATAAATAAAAAACTCTTTGAAGCGCACTCTCTTGTCAGGTAGTTATAATCATTATTTTATTATCACAGGGATCTACAACCTTCGACGAAACGGGACAAAGCAAAGCAAGTTGACCAATGAAAAACGCGCAATCGCAAATACAGACTGAAAAGAAACTTTGTGGTCTGCAGTGCATTGTATTGTTTTTTATTATCTCGAATTTTTATTTATCTGGTGCTTTAATTTGGTGATAATAGAATAAAATACATTGTAAACACAAAGTTCCGGGTGTAGTGACTTCTAAAAGGGAGTTTTCGAGCTCTCAAATTCGAATAGAATGTTTGTTTTGTTAGACCCTGAATCATCCAAGTTTACTAGCTGTCATGGTGTAGAAATGAGTGTATTAATTTAGTTTTGTGAAGGCTTATATCGGACAGATACAATTTATTTAATGTCCTATTGGTAGGCAACAATGTCAAACAGACATATTCCGGCAGATAAGGTGAGTAGCATTCAACATACCAACCGCACCCTTTTTTTCTCTTACTAAGCTGTGATTAGAAGACATAAGGCGACCTAGATTTTTACCCCTTTATAGTACTTCTTTCGACGAAAATAGTCCAGGTCAAATCTTATTCTTTTCTCCTTGGTCAACTTTTTAGCAGCACTAACTTTCACTGCTGCGAAATTTGTTATTTATAAATACATTAGTACTGGTGACAACTATGAAAGTCTTTATTTTATTTTTATTTTAAGTTATGAATTATATTAAAAAACTACAATGCAGTTTATATAGTAAACTTTGTCTTGTATTAGATAATATCTTAAGATTACTTTATTCGTATTTTAGTTTCATGCATTGATATTGATTAGGTCTACAATTTTTTTTTATTATTTTTGAACAGGCGATTTATCTAATATACTTGGTCTAAATATTTTACTTTAATCAGAAATCAAGAAGATCAATTATTCTTAATTCCATTATTAGCATATCAAATGTAACTGAACTAGGTATTTTCTAAATACCTATGTGTTTACTGTTAGTAAAAGTGTAATTTTCTTTAGTCATTTTTTATACATAACAACTTATTAATAAATCTTGGTTTTCAACACTCAGAATCATTAGAAAATGTAAAATTTGGGCTGTGACCTTAGTTTTTGACACCTGCTTTATGCTTTGGACTTGAAAATAGTTATTGATTAAATTGCAAATACGTACTTATTGGTATTTTAAGAAATACCTATATACTAATGGCAAAATAGGCCTATATCTGTATTTGCCAACAAACAAATTTCTAATTCCTAAATTATTTAAATATTTTGATCAATAATTATTCCTTTAGCAATTACAGTTATTATTATTGTTATTAGTATTAAAATTATTTTGTTACTGTCATATTAATCGTATTTTCAGTTGGAATATATCTAATATTAAGTTTTATTTGTATCTAGTAGCTATTTTTGTTTAACAGACTTTGGTTTGTAATTTTCTATTTATTCATTTTGGATACTCTCCAACCACTGTCCGCTCATTTATATGTTTTTATTTAATTACAGATAAACTTAAGATTAATACTTGTTAGTGGAAAGACAAAAGAGTATTTATTCAGTCCAAGTGACTCGGCAGGAGACATAGCACAACATGTTTTTGACAATTGGCCTGAAGGTATGTATTAATTGTTTTTTATATTTTTTCTCAGCACTGCTGTTTTTTTTTTGTATAAAGTATAAACATCCTATCAAGAGGACTTCCTATTGAACATTGAGGAATTAACAGAGTTATGTGAGCCTATATACATATTTGTCCTGTTTATATTTATACTTATTAAAACTGCTGTTATAAATTTTAATTGAGGCAAACATAGACATTTATTTTAATATGCTTATATTAAGTATCTATTTTTTTCTTGTTTTTCATTTTAATAATTTACAAGAAATGAGGTATACAGGGTCCGGCAATAGCACATCGGGCATCTGTAGCTCCTAGAATAAAAAACTTGGAAATTTTGTTTAAGTGCAAACCTAAAGTATGTACTAGGACGTATTTCAGGAAAATATTTTAATTTTCTACAGGTTGACTCCAAAAAGTGTGAGTGGATCGGGATTATTATTTTTAAATGGTACACCCTGTATATTATTGCATTTTTGGCTCCCTTTTTGATCACTTTACATAATTTTTGATAGTTTCATAAATATAAATAAACAAACATTTTTTTATCCTTTTTAATAAAAATTATTTAAAATACAAGAAATGTCCTGAAATCAAAATTATATTAAGTATTTACTGTGATTGTTCTATATTTACTTTACTACAAATATCGAATATTTTAACCATACAGGGGGTTTAAAATTCTATGCCAAACTTTCTAAAATATATGAAGGAAATAGAGGGTGTCCCAGGCTGAGCGTGCATTAGAAGTTTCTAGAGAACTGCAGTATCTAGATCGGAGATTTTTCGCACATTATTGTTTCACAACAAGATCTACCAATTAAAAATATTTTCAATATGGCGGCACTTCCGAAACTACCGGAAGTTGACATACATACTTAAATTATCTGTAAAATTTTATGAATTTTGATATCAAATACTCTGTCTCTAACATTAACCGTTTGGAAAAAAACTGCCTGTCAAAAAAATCTATATAGCCTAAACAACAAATTTAGTGATTACCGCGACCGCTGTGACATATGTAAAGAAGGCATGTGGCTATCTATTTCAAAAATTAAATTGTTTGAATGTCATATAATATTGGCCGTAGCTGTCATTGAATTGAGCGATAAAAAAATTATCATAAATCATTTGTTTCAAATGGAAACCCACTTTTTTTATTTATGTCATTATGATAATATTATGATAATTTTTTAATCGCTCAATTTAATGACAGCTACGGCCAATATTATATGACATTCGAACAATTTAATTTTTGAAATAGATAGCCACATGTCTTCCCTTTATCGTTTAGCCTATACAGATATTTTGACAGAGAGTTAAACAGTTCCTCCAAAAATTTTAAATATTTTTTTTTCTCAAAAACGGTTTATGTTAGGTATAGAGTGTTTGACATAAAAATTCATAAAATGTTACAGAGAATTTAAGTATGTAATAAAAAATGGGGGTACTTATTTAAAATACGAAAGTTGCTGTCAACTTCCGGTATTTCCGGAAGTGCCGCCATTTTGAAAATATTATTAATCGAGAGATCCCGTTGTGAAACAGTAATGTGCAAAAAATCTCCGATCTAGATATTGTAGTTCTCTAGATAATTCTAATGCACGCTCAGCCTGGGACACTCTGTATATATTATATTTTAGAAATCTGCCTAAGGTTTAGCCCGATCCTGTCGTGTTAAGCCATACCTACCCAAAATTCCAAACACACGTGCTTTGATTAAGGTTTGCAGAGCTTCAACATTTGCCATAAAATAGCGAGCAATTTGTTACAAAACCATATACAGGGTGGTCCGAACTGTATTCCGGAAACTTCGGCAGCATATTCTGCAGATAAAAATTAGTAAAAAAGTTCGTATAAATGTATGTCCTAAAATGCTTAGTTTCAGAGATACAGGGTGTAGAAGTTTCATTATTATTTAGATTTTTTCTGAATAATTTCTGAAGTAACGTCAATATTTGGATGAAAATTGGTGTCTGTGAGTTTTTTGACATGAGAAATTTGATTTTGATGTCAATATGACTGCTATTAGTAGAGGGCGCCACCTACATGTGTTTTAACTGTTTTGAAGCTTATTAACTTTTTGTCCGTACCTGTATAAAACTACCGAGCGAAAATATTTACATCTCTGTGACTTTTTATGTAAAAAATATCTCTTTGTAAAAATCGCTACGAGCAACTGTTTTTAATATATTTAGAATGGAAATAGTCAATACATGTCATTATTGACGAAAAATAAACACGCTGAGTAGATAGTTATTTCACTGAAATAATAAATTTGGGAAAATTTTTATTTTTTTAAACTAATCATAAATTTTTCTGCTAAAAATGATGATAAAACAGTTTCTGTTGAACTTTTGACACAAAAACATTTGAAATTTATGATTTCAGTCTAATAACTATTAGTTTAGTTTATAATCATCTGCTGATGATGCTAACATGGTTAGCGAAACGCGCGTCCAGTGTAAAAGTAAATATGTTTTGGTGTATTGTGGTGATTTAGTGTTTTTATTTTGCTCTAATATCTATTTAGTCAACGCATGTTTAATTTATGTCAATGATGACAGGTATTGATAATTTCGATTTCAAATATCTCGAAAACCATTACTCGTAGTGATTTTTACCAAGAGACCTTTTTCACGTAAAAAACGTTGTAAATGTTTATTTTTTTACTCAGTAAGTAGTTTTATACAGGTACGGACGAAAAGTTATTACTCTTCAAACCAGTTAAAAAATATGTAGGTGGCGCCCTCTACCAGTAGGAGTCATATTAACATCAAAATCAAATTTCTCATATCAAAAAACTCCCAGACACCAATTTTCATCCAAATATTGACGTTACTTCAGAAATTATTTGGAAAAAATCGGAATAAAAATGAAACTTCTACACCCTGTATCTCCGAAACTAAGCATTTTAAAACATACACTTATACAAACTTTTTTACTTATTTTTATCTGCAGAATATGCTGCCGAAGTTTCCGGAATACAGTTCGGACTACCCTGTATAAAGTATATATCACTGTAGCCACAAAACTTCAATCTATTTCCGTATTGTAACGGAATTTTAAATTATGTCTTTATTTTCGAGAAAATTTAGTCCAAACATAAGGAATATTTTGTTGATATTGGTTAGGATAGGTTGACCATCAAAATATTAAAAATAAAGAAGTTGTCTAAAAATGTGCTACAATACGGATATTATAGTAATCCTTTATCTTTAATTTCCTTCATTTGTGGTAAAAATACGTAGCCAGTTTTACATAAAACGTTAAGGTGCGTATTCATTATCTGAACGAACGAACGAATGTTCGCTAGTGGTGTGGACGGGGACCGTACGATAGAACCGCACGAGGAGACCGGACGCATTTCTTGGCGAACGCCTTTGATGTACCGACTCGAAACGGGTGGTCGAGCGAACGAGCGAACGAACGGCCGCATGCGTTCGGGCCCCGTCTAAATATACCGCACTTTCATTCGTTCGTTCGTTCGGATAATGAATACGCACCTTTAAGCTGCGTATTCATTATCCATAAGGTGCGTATTCATTATCCGCACGAACGAACGAACGAACGAATGTTCGCTAGTGGTATGGACGGGGAACGCACGATAGGACCGCACGAGAAGACCGGAGGCATTTGTTGGCGAACGCCTTTGATGTACCAACTCGAAACGGATGGTCGAGCGAACGAACGGCCGCATGCGTTCGGTCCCCGTCTAAATATACCGCACTTTCATTCGTTCGTTCGTTCGTTCGGATAATGAATACGCACCTTAAGGAACATTATAGAACGAACGAACGAACGAACGAATGAAAGTGCGGTATATTTAGACGGGGACCGAACGCATGCGGCCGTTCGTTCGTTCGTTCGCTCGACCATCCGTTTCGAGTTGGTACATCAAAGGCGTTCGCGAACAAATGCCTCCGGTCTTCTCGTGCGGTCCTATCGTGCGGTCCCCGTCCATACCACTAGCGAACATTCGTTCGTTCGTTCGTTCGTTCGTGCGGATAATGAATACGCACCTTATGGATAATGAATACGCAGCTTAAAGGTGCGTATTCATTATCCGAACGAACATTATAGAACGAACGAATGAAAGTGCGGTATATTTAGACGGGGACCGAAGGTATGCTGCCGTTCGTTCGCTCGACCATCCGTTTCGGGTCGGTACATCCAAGGCGTTCGCGTCCGGTCTTCTCGTGCGGTTCTATCGTACGGTCCCCGTCCATACCACTAGCGAACATTCGTTCGTTCGTTCGTTCGTGCGGATAATGAATACGCACCTTATGGATAATGAATACGCAGCTTAAAGGTGCGTATTCATTATCCGAACGAACATTATAGAACGAACGAACGAATGAAAGTGCGGTATATTTAGACGGGGACCGAACGCATGCGGCCGTTCGTTCGTTCGTTCGCTCGACCATCCGTTTCGGGTCGGTACATCAAAGGCGTTCGCGTCCGGTCTTCTCGTGCGGTTCTATCGTACGGTCCCCGTCCATACCACTAGCGAACATTCGTTCGTTCGTTCGTTCGTGCGGATAATGAATACGCACCTTTAAATGCCTACCGCTTATTTTGCTACTTTTTCGGATTAGTGAAATGGACTCTTAAGGATTTTTTTTACTGCAAATTACAAATAAAAAATAATTTTTAAATATGTAAAAAGTGGGCTAATAGTCTGCCCAACGAGGATACCTGATAGTGACAGTTGTCTGTCATTTTAATTCACATGTAACTCGTTTTTTTCATGAAAAATCATTTTTTGGATGTCATTAAGTTATAATTTCTAAACCTTAACACAAAAATAAATATTTTGTTCTAAAAAAATAGTCAATAGTGTACCTTACCTACTAAATAAATCTTTATAATATATTTTTATGCAGGGTGCTACAAATTCGGGGTACGAGCATTCGTATCTCGGTAACCGTAATAGGTAAGAACATTAAATTAGGGCAAAGTTGCTCATTGGGATGTTCACCCAAAGATAATAATTGAGCCACAATAGGCCCTCGCGGCCGCAGTGGAGGGTCAAAAATTCATCAAACGTTTTAAAAATTTCAAGGATTGCTGAGTTTTTTTGGAAAAAACGGATTTTTTTGAAACTCAATTTTATTTCCTGTCAGAAAATCAAAAAACTAATTGCACATTCCCATAGCTACTTTATTAGGGCTATTTGTTAGTATTTTTAGATTTTAAATTAGCTGACAATTTTTGAGATACAGAGGCCAACTTAATTTTTTTTAATACGGACCCTTATTTCAGGTTTTGAAAGAACTCGTCTCCTGAGTACAATGATATGTCACAGTTATTTTTTTTTTGTTTCGGACATTTATCTGAGCACAATTTACATATTTAAACTAATTTCAAGTTCGGCTCTGTTTTTTTTAAAATATTTAATCTATTCATCGTTACAATATTGATAAGCTTTCAAAAACAATGACGTGAGGTAAAATATTGAATACGGAAAATTAAATACAATAAAATAATAAAAATAATATAAATATAATATAATATAAACAATCAAATCATTTCCCCGGAAGATGAATTAGAAATCGTAGAGCAGTATAATGGTCAGCGAGGTTCCTGGACCTGCCGTCAAGGGTCGAGGGGGGGGACATTACTTGACGTCATTTGTAAAAGTGTAATCAATACATCTCAACGTTTACAATAAAGAGTACAAAATTCATTCAGAAGTATAAGAAGAAAGTTCAAAGAGCTTTAAATATTTATATATTGAACGAAAAATACATTTGTGCTAGGGAGGGTGGTAACTGGTAACCCTTTCAAACATGTAGATCATCAGGAACTAGTTTTTAGAAGTAGATTTATTTATAATAATTACGATTAATATGCATATTATTAGATCGCACAGTGAGATTTCAAATTCACAATAAAAAAAGTTAAAAATAATATCTTTAAATTGATGACCTGAATATTATTTATTTAAATCTTCCAATTCGCTCGATTTTCCTTATTCAATGTTAATTAGCGCTGATCAATATTGTTGCGATGAATATAATGAGATTAAATAATTTAAAAACACCACAGTCGGACTTGAAATTATTTTAAATAATAATTAAAAAGTTTTATAGTTGTTAAGGTACCCAAAACAAAAAAAGTATAAAGTGTGACATATGATTGTACTCAGCAGACCGATTTCTTTCAAAACCTGGAATAAAAAATGTAGGTCCGTATTTAAAAAAATTAAGTTGGCCTCTTATCTCACAACTTATCAGCTACTGAAAAATCTAAAAATACTGTCAAATAGCCCCTAATAAAGTGGCTACGAGAATGTGCAATTAGTTTTTTGATTTTCTAAAAAGTAACGACAGGAAAAAATAAAATTGATTTTCAAAAAAATCCGTTTTTTTCCAAAAAAACTCAGCAATCCTTGAAATTTTAAAAACTTTTTTGACGGCATCTTGGTGAACATCCCAAAGCGGAAACTTTATCCCAATTTACCCATGTTCGTATCTATTACGGTTACCGAGATACCAATGCTCGTACCCCAAATCTGTAGCACCCTGTTGTAGGATTGTAATTTTAAGAAAACAAAATTTGTGTTCGTGATGAATTTTACTGATGGTATTATAGGCTTGGTCCATTTCAGTTGATTTTAAAAATTCCGACCACAGCGCTCGATACGGCAGTTGTTTTCGCTCTGTATTTGGCGCAGTTCTGATGTTGATCACATTGAAATAATATTAAAATAGTGTCTTTGTCTGGGCTTTGTCGTAATATTTAAGTATTTTAGTTTTGAATAGAGCAATTATTTAAACCACAAAACTCTCAGGTACGGGATTTTTGTGATTTTTTTCGAAAATTTTACCACTCTGGATCTGAAAAATTAAGATATTTAGAACATACCTTCTAGTACGAGAGCTAGCAACGTCCGAAAAACAAGTATTTTAAGACGTCTGGCTCTTTGATATATGTATCTTTTACTATGCTCTCTAGAACAGCATGCGGCCCGTCTGGCTGCCGGTAAACGTTGCGTTCCCTACTGCGCATTGAAAGAAGATCCTATATTTTTATTAGTCTTTTAAATTCTAGTATTGAATATAAATCGAGCATGTTTCCATAGCGCAGTGCGTAGAGTTTCCGACCACGAACCGATGATTCAAAGTTCGAACCCGGGTCGGGGCAAAGACTTTTTTTTATTATTTTCGTTTTTATTCTGATAGTAAAGTATTAAATATTTGTTTTTATTTAATTACCAGAATTATTTAATACTTTGCTATCAGATTATAAACGAAAATAAAATAAAAGTCTTTGACCTGACCCGGATTCGAACTCTGAATCAACGGTTCGTGGGCGGAAACTCTACGCACTCTGCTATGGAGACATGTTCGATTTATATTCAATACTAGAATTTATAGGACTAAATTAATAAAAAATATAGGATCTTCTTCCGATGCGCAGTAGTGAACGCAACGGGTATCGGCAGCCAGACGGGCCGCATGCTGTTCCAGAGAGCAAAGTAAAAGATATATCAAAGAGCCAGACGTCTTAAAATACATTCTCGAAAACGTTGCCAGCTCTTAGACTATTCTTATGGAGTATTTTTTGGACTAATGTAGAATGTTTAGGAGGGGAGTTAATCACCGCGACCTTATAGATCTATTGTGTGTATTTTTTTGGGTTGGGTTGGATTGGATTTTTTGGAGTAAGGTATGATATTATATCAATAATTATTTGGTTTAGATTGGCGTCAAGAGGCAGTTTCAAAGGCCGAAATACTTAGACTCATTTACCAGGGTCGTTTTTTACATAGCAACGTGACTTTGGGCGCTTTAGGACTACCTTTTGGAAAGACGACCGTCATGCATCTGGTACCGAGGGAGAACCTTCCAGAACCAAACTCACAAGGTATTTTATTTATTTATCGATAGTGTGTTTATTTTTAGATTACTCATAACGTACTATTGCATAATTTATAGTATTTTTAAATTCGGTAGCGTTCAAAATTGTCCGAGGTTTTGAATGCCAAACGTAATTAACATTCTTTTAATAAATAAATAAATAACGATGAATAAGTAGGCGCGATATTTTACAAAGAGTTCTATTTATAGGTAGGCGATGATTGTAGTCGTTATATAAGGAGTTGTTGACAGATTAGATATACACCAATTTTGTACTGTTGTTTTGTTGAGCGAGATAAAAATGTAATTGTTCATGTTTATGGGAGGTAATTACTAACTTATCAAAAATTCTCAGGAGAATTTTTTTCTAAATAATACAGTATTTTAACATGTTTATTAAAAAAAACTTATAAAAAAACCTTACTTATTAATTACAGTTTGGGGTTGGAACCAAAGACATCTAACTGGGTAGACAGAACAATCCATTCATAAAACTTAATTTTTTAGAATCATACATGGTTTGACACTTTTATGAGAGTTAAAAAGAGATGAGTACAGTGTGTCCCATTTTGGTTGAAATCATAGGGTATCTCCGTTATTAGTGAAGATAGAAGGGTGCGGTTTGCACAAACCTGTCCCACTTTTTCGTCAAACGGAAGATGCTGCAAACAAAATTTTCATAGCCCTCTTCATTTCTGAGCTACAGGGTCTTTTCAAAAATTTTGCAATTTGGGACACCCCCTGTATCTCTGTTATTGTTAAAGGTATCGAGAAGGCGAAAACTGCTTATTGTAGAACTTTTTACGTAGAATACAGTGGCGTAGTCTGTTTTTCTTCCAAAAAAATATTTTTGAAAATATGAACTAAAGTTATGTTTTTTCAGGAACACCCTGTATATTTATAAATCATATGATCTGTCTTGCTACGAGCTTCTCAAAAATATATATCACTCTATATTTATTTTCACTATTTATTGCAATATTTAAAATATATCATTTTCTTATTAGTAGGCCGTGATAAATAACAAAAAATCAAAATGGTATTTACTAAAATAGTCATACACATATTAAAATTTATTTGGGATTGATATATTTTCTTTTGAAATAACTGTTACCACTGAAACTGTGAATATATTTTTCTTTTTTTTATAACGGGATGGGTTTGCAAATATCTAAATCTTGAATTATTAAAGCATTTTTCAGGTGTTCGACATTGTTGTAGTGCCCACGATATATTTCGTATTTCAAAAATCCCCAAAATCAGAAATCGAGAACGGCGAAATCCGGGAATGAACGCATATTGACAGCCTCCTCGAGCTGTCAATATGCGTTCATTGGTTCCAATTCATTGATTTGAAAAATAATAATTTAACAGTATTCTAATATTTCCATAGTTATGAGGGGGAATGTTCCCCATCTTGCTGAAAGTATATTTCACGTAAATTAGCTAAAGGAATATCTAAAATTTCCGATACGATTGATTATTCTTACGTATACACGTATTCCAAGATTTACAAATAGCGGTAGAGAGTTAAGTTTCCCTAATATATAAAGAATTTATTAGCGGCTCCCAAAATAAAACAAGAGACAGATAGCAGTGTACTTTTAATAATTCTTTAGTTTCTTTTATTATCAATCATGGCCTACTAATAAAAATGATCTTTTAATTAAAACTTAAATATTGCAGTAAATAGTGAAAATAAATATAGACTGATATATATTTTTGAGAAGCTTATGGCAAGACAGATCATACGATTTATAAATATACAGGGTGTTCCGTTAAAAAAAACATAACTTTAGTTTATATTTTCAAAAATATTTTTTTGGTAGAAAAACAGACTACGCCACTGTATTCTACGTAAAAAGTTCTGCAATAAACAGTTTTCACCTTCTCGATAGCTTTAACAATAACAGAGATACAGGAGGTGTCCCAAATTGCAAAATTTTCAAAAAGACCCTGTAGCTCGGAAACGAAGAGGGCTATGAAAATTTTGTTTACGGCATCTTCCGTTTGACATAAAAGTGAGACAGGTTTGTGCAAACCGCACCCTTCTATCTTCACTAATAACGGAGATACCGTATGATTTCAACCAAAATGGGACCCCCTGTACATATACATATATGACAACACGATTGAGTTTCGTCTATCTTCCTGTCATTTGGCTCTATCAGTGGCGTGATGGTGGCGTGATGTTTTTTTATGAAAAATTGATGAATTTTATTAAAAATTGATTGGAGCCTCCGCCCAATTTTCCATTATAACTAGTTTTGCCTGAGGGTAACTCTAATTTCACAATCGAAAGCGCCAACAAATAAGAAAATATACGTATTTTTGTAATAATCTACTTATAACTAAAAGTAAATTATTACAATCATAAAAAAAATAATAAAAAAAAATAAAAAATTATAACAAAAAAAATAAAAAATTACAATAAAAATAAAAAAAAATAAAATAAAAAAAATACGCTACTGTAAGCATAGGTGTTTCATAAAACATGTGCCATCTCTCGTGGAGAGATTCCTCACGTAAAATAAGATTTTTTTTTCATATCAACATAGGTCCGATTCTGCTTTGTTTCGTAGCTACGGGGGGTTAAAGTTTTAATATTTTTTCGATTTATTATAATTTTCTTCCTTTTTTTAAAATTTATTATAATTTAAGTCCTTTTAGCGATTCGAATTAAATTTTGAGGGTAAAAGTTACTGTAAGTGCGACATATAATGCTAAAAAAGTGTTGACATATTCACCATGGACGTGCATATAGGTTATTACTGGAATATTGTTCTAAAAAAATATGCACGCCCCTGAGTTTTTTATTTATATATCAAAATTGTGTAGGCCATTTAATGCTGATTAAAAGTTGTTTCTTGATATTTGGTTGATTATATTTGGTCCTCCTTGGTGAGGTAAACGCAATTTTATTGATTTGCCTTGCCAAGTCTATTAGAAACCTTTAAAAGAAATAATATCATTAACTTGTGAAAGTGTTCAATAAGTACTCAGTAAAAAAAACTCAAAGTACTCAAATCGAAAAAAAATATGGAAAACAGTTCCTATAAACATAGGTATGGAATGGTATAGTTTGAAATTTACAGGATGTTAATAAAACTTTTTAAAATTGGATCTTTTGTAATTATTTTAAATACCATTATTATTTTATTTGAATTTGCTATAGGTTGGATTAATAGTAATAATAATTAATAGTAATAACATTTAATAATAATTTAGATAAAATAAATATTTTATTAATTTTATTTTTATTAATTGTGGCCTAGAGAATTTTGCTATCAAAAGAAAAAAGTCTTAATAGGTACTCTCTTTTTTTTTCGAAAAATATTCCATTGATAACCCATATGCTGCTGAATCTGTCGACACTTTTTTAGCATTAATCAAGCCAGTTTTAGCCGGCTCAATTAAGATATGTAGCACTTAGTAACTTTTACACCCAACATTTCATTCGAATCACTAAAAGCACTTGGAAGAAAATTATAATTTGAAAAAAAAAGACTTTAACCCCTTGTAGCTACCTAAACAAAGCAGAATCGGACCTATATTGATATGAAAAATAAATCTTATTTTTACTTGAGGAATTTTCCCACCTGAAATGAGACACATGTTTTTTGAAACACCTTGTACATTATAGAAATAAATTAAATTAGTTATCTATAAATTACAAGAGATTATTTCATAATTTAATGTTATATTACTGAGGAAATTTATTTGTAATATGTTCTAGTTTTATTCTGTCTAGTTCTTTAAAATATATTTTTTTATAATGGTATAGATACTTTAATTAAAGTCTCAAACAAGATGATATTGATCTTAATTTTATGTTTTATTATCATTAAAGTGAAACCTTATAAAAAGTTTTTTAATCGTTTGTAATAACTACAAATTACAATCATGTGATAAAATGATTACAAAATAGTCTAGAAATCATCTACACACGAAATCTTAGTAGGAAGGAAGTTGATTATATATTTCGTAAGTGAATAAAAAAGACGATGATTGTTTGTATAAAATTAACATTTTATGCTTACTATATGAGTTAGATAAATTTTTACTGTACAGGGTGGGTCAAATTCGACGCTTTTAAATGGAAACACCCTTTTCTATAGAAGATAGACGAAAACTAATATCGGTGTCTGGAGCTCAATTTTTGTCAAAAACATGATAGTGAAAACCGCATATCGATATCTGTTACCGTTTCGGAGTTACGGGGTGTTTTTCAAAAATATGCACTTTTAACAAATCGCTGTAACTTTTTTTGTTATGGAAAATTTTGTATTTTTATGAAAACATTTCCAAAGCACCTTTTTACGTAGAATTTAATGGTTTAAGTATAATTTTTTTAAAATTAATAATTTAAGAATTATCAACAGAAAATTTGATTTTTTATATGGGACACCCTGTATATTTTTAATTTATTGAAAATAATTTAAAATTACCTTTCCAAAAATATAACACACTTGATATTTTGCTGGATTCTTCTTCGAGATATAGAGTATATAAAAATTCGCCCGCTTTAAATGAGTAGGCTTTGAACGGCACCGGCTGTAATGCAAAAAAATCTAGCTGTGAGCATCAATTAAAACGAAAATAATATTTGCTATGAGAGATGCAGAATTTTATAACTATTTAAAATATATTTAATCAACATCAACACATTTAAACTATATCTAATAACAAGAAAAATAAATAGCAAACCAAGACATGAGATTTTGCTATAGGTGTTCGACATATCGACCGTCTTCTGTTATGGACAGACGGGTCAGTTTTTGAACGTTTCTCGCGGAATTCATTAACTCAGTGGGGGTGAAAGATACCCTCCCATAACTGCTAAGTAATTCTAATTCTTGTCTGGATTATACGGAAGAACAAGGAACCTTTATTTTTCCGCAAATATATCGATAGGATTAGATCCATGGGCACTAAGTCAGGCGGCCTCGATGGCCAACGGCTGGAATCTTGGTTGGCTATTCAATTACTCTTGAAATTGGATGCCAA